AGGGGTTTAGCTCTGGAGTTACTGATAGGGTTAGGTTCAGGGGTTTAGCTCTGGAGTTACTGATAGGGTTAGGTTCAGGGGTTTAGCTCTGGAGTTACTGATAAGGTTAGGTTCAGGGGTTTAGCTCTGGAGTTACTGATAGGGTTAGGATCAGGGGTTTAGGGTTGAAGTCAGTGTTAATGTTTTATGGTTTGGCGTGCTGAGTGCTGTGTCCTCTTTCAGTATAACTCAGCTCCTGGGCAGTTACACCCCTTTCTACACTATTATCCGAGTTTCTTGCTCCCCCAGCTCCTTCTACAAATATTATTCATAATACAATAATTATCTTAGAATAATAATGCTTTGTATTGCTTTCTTAAGAATATATTGACATTCTGTAAAAATAAAATGCTGTGAATAATAGTGATAAATAATAATAATGTTAATTACTCAGCTTCCTGTTTGTTCTTCTATTATGAAAGCTCTGGAGTGGACAGATGTGTCCCACCGCACCTTCTGTGGGACAATTAGCAGCCTTTCATGGACTGCTGGCTACATGCTGCTGGCTCTGCTGGCCTATCTCATCAGAGACTGGAGATGGCTTCTCCTTGCAGTAACCTCCCCTTGTCTGCTGGCTATCGCCACATGGTGGTGAGTGTATAAATCTGTCAAGAGGTAACTAGTTCAATGCCAGACTTTTATCTCCACCAAAGCACTACTACATGTAACTGATTCAAAGTGAGAGGAGGGACAGACGCACTCCAAGCTCAAACAGACAGACAGACAGACACAGAGCTCAAACAGACAGAGAGAAAATGACACAGTCCCTCTTGTAACTGGTGAAGGGTGCTTGCTAAATTACCCCTCACCCTGAGTATATAGAAGCTCCATCTGAGCCTGCAGGTGCCAACCACCATCCAGGAGGGCCTCAGCCCTGAGAGCATCAAGGACTGAGTCAATGTCCATGCCCTGACCATCCAAAGCACTGGAAACAGCAAATAATAGGAATGACAAGCAGGAAGCTGTTACCAAGCCGTTATTCTAAGATGGCTGTAGTAAAAAGGCCAAATGCCCGCCTATATATATATATATATATTCCCCTCTTTTACCTCTCCTCCCATAATACACCTACACTTCCCCACACATGTCTCTTATCTGGCTAGCTTTCAGTCTGCCTCCTCAGGATCTAGAATGGGGTACATTGACGTTGTGGCAGGCTTATGCAATGTATGATCATATAATGTAACTAAACTCCCATTATTTTTGCCTAGATTAGGTGTTTTTTTTATAAAAACAACTAATACAATTTGTGAAACTGGTGTTTGGTGACTGAGTGAATGCGCTGAATCTTAAGATGCAGAAGGCAGACAGACACAAGGTACAAACAGACATGGGGCAGACTGACAGACAGACACAATGGACAGAGATACCAGTGGCCTTTGCAGTAATAAGTGTTTTTTTTAACTAATACAGGTGGGTCCCTGAGTCGGCTCGCTGGCTGCTCACTAAGCAGGACTTCGTGTCTGCTCACAGATACCTGTCCACGTGTGCAAAAATGAATGGAAAACAAGATTTTCAGCTTAAGATCTCTCCTGAGGTTTGAACATAATGGAATGTTGGGAATTCTGGCAGTGTGGGTGCAGTTATAGTCTGACTTATGTAGAATGCATTCAGAGAGAATAAAGAATGTACTCAATGCAAGCATGAGAGAGAGGGGGGTGTATTCAGAGAGAGCAGGGGGTGTATTCAGAAAGAGCAGAGACTGTATTAGGAGAGAGCAGGGGGTTTATTAAGAGAGAGCAGGGTGTGTTTTCAGAGAGAGCAGGGAGTATATTAAGAGAGAGCAGGGGGTGTATTCTGAGAGAGCAGGGAGTATATTAAGAGAGAGCAGGGGGTGTATTCTGAGAGAGCAGGGAGTATATTAAGAGAGAGCAGGGGGTGTATTCTGAGAGAGCAGGGAGTATATTAAGAGAGGGCAGGGAGTATATTAAGAGAGAGCAGGGGGTGTATTAGGAGAGGGCAGGGGGTGTATTAGGAGAGAGCAGGGGGTGTATTAGGAGAGAGCAGGGGGTGTATTAAGAGTGAGCAGGGGGTTATTCAGAGTGATAAAAAATAAGAAATGATCCCAATGCACACCACGGTTTTGCACATAAAAAGAGTATTTATTCATGCATCGAAAATACAACAAGATATCACTATAGCAGAGAGAAAGTGCATAGTATAGTGCTAAACCAGTAAATAGTACCAAAACCACAATGTAAGTAAAGTGCTCTGGGTCACCCAGAGGAAGGCTTCACAGCCCAAACGTTGGGGTTTCATTTCTCCAGCTCTTGGTCAGTATACCTTTTTTAATGGGTTTTTGCATTAAGCACTTTACTTAGTGAGCAGGGAGTAATTTGGAGTGAGCAGAAGGTTATTTGGAGTGAACAGGAAGTAATTCGGAGTGATATGGGGGGGTTATTAGGAGTGAGCAGGGAGTAATTCGGAGTGATCAGGGGGTTATTAGGAGTGAGCAGGGAGTAATTCGGAGTGATCAGGGGGTTATTTGGAGGGAGCAGTGTTTGAAATTAGCAGGGAGAGTATTGGTAGCGAGCAGTGAATGTATTCGAAGTGAGCAAGATTTATTTGTAGGAGCAAAGTAAAGTTGACTTTTAAATGAAATCCTTGAAAGGTTTGAGAGCTCAATCTGGTTTCCAGGTCCTGCAGAAGATAGTGACTGTGGAGTGCCGAAAATACAACTTCTGGGACTTGGTGAAGACGCACCAGCTGAGAAAGAACACGCTGTGTCTTGGCATCATGTGGTATAATTCATCCAATGGCATGGCCTAGCACACGATAGTCCCAAAATTGTATGCTTGCATATTACATGAGCAACCTCTCTCACTCACTGTCATTCACTCATTATGTGTGCACCACATGGCTCTGTGTGAAAAAAGCTGGGTGGTGGGAGATTTTTGGTTGTAGTGTCCAGTATGGTAGATACTATGAGCTGAGTGTGGGAGATATTTAGTGGTGAGTTAATATGCCAGGTATCAGTGAGTGATGGATCGATATGTCAGATATCAGTGTATGGTGGGTCCATGTATCTGATATCAGTGTATGGTGGGTCCATGTGTCTGATATCAGTGTATAGTGTGTCCATATGTCAGATATCAGTGAGTGGTGGGTCAATGTGTCAGCTATTAGTGAATGTTGGGTCCATGTGCAGATATCAGTGTATGGTGGGTCCATGTGTCACCTTCATGATCTCTCTGCAGGTTCGGGGTGGCATTCAGTTATTATGGCATCAGTTTCAACATAACAAGTTTCAGTTTAAATCCTTTCCTTACCCATTTCATTTTTGGGGCAATTGAGATTCCAGCCAAAATTGGAGTTTTCCTTCTGCTGGATCGTATTGGACGCAAGCTGTGCCAAGGTGGATCTTTGCTTACAACCGGAGTGTTCATTGCACTTACCAGCCTCACCCCAACAGGTAAATTTCTTGACATACGGCAAATGAAGAGAGAAAAGAGGGAAAACCCATTCATGCAGACATCAGAGATAGGACACATGAAGTGTGAAGGCACAAAAAGATTACAGAAGACATTGCCCCCTGACCATTAGCATTGCGGGCCTATAGGCTGTAGTCCCATACCATTCCATTACAGATTAGAATAGCAGAAAGGATGCTTGGATATCAATTGGCACAGTGGTGCAGGATAGGAGGCAGCTGAGTATGGGCTATCAGCACTGTATGGCCTAATTTACCATCACTTACAAAAATTCATTGTGCACTCTGGAATGCCCGCTCCATCTGCAGTAATTTAAAATCAACAACCATACACGACTTTTTCATCTCAAACTCACTCACACTGCTTGTACTTACAGAGACCTGGCTGTCCCCCTCTGATAGCGCTACTCCTGCCTCTTTATGTTTTGGTGGGCTACAATTCTCTCACACTCCCAGACTCAACTGTAAAGGAGGCGGCGTAGGCATCCTTCTCTCCCCTCAATTTACCTTTCAACCAATCATAACTCCCCCTGCCCTATCCTTTTCTTCTTTTGAAGTTCACACTGCCCGCCTATTTAAACCCACTCCTTTAAGAATTGCTATCATCTACCGCCCCCCCGGTTATCCTAGACTATTCATTGAGCACTTTTCTTCCTGCCTTCCCCACTTCCTCTCATCTAGCACTCCTTACCTTATACTTGGGGATTTCAATATCCCAATCAATAACCCCAATTGCACTGATGTCTCTCGTCTGCTCTCTGTAACCTCCTCCTTTGGCCTTATGCAATGGTCCAATTTAGCAACCCATACAGCAGGAAACACTCTTGATCTTGCCTTCACCCATCTCTGTACTGCCTCTAATCTCTCCAATATTCCTTTTCCTCTATCTGACCACCATCTGCTGACTTTTGACATTGGCATACCTAAGACCCAATTGACACCACCGTCTGAACATCACTCTCACAGAAACCTCCAATGTCTTGACCTAGAGCATTTCTCCACTAATCTCCAAATTCTCCTTTTACCTATCTCAAACCTCACCTTTCCTAGTTCTGCAACCTCCTTCTACAATTCCACCCTCTCCTCTCAACTAGACATCATGGCACCTTGTACATTTAAACGCTGCAGGCCCCCCCAACAACAACCCTGGCACACCAAGCTCACTCGATACCTCCAAAAATGCTCCAGAACTGCTGAACGCTGTTGGCGAAAGTCTCACTGTGCATCTGACTTTCTCCACTATAAATTTATGCTGAGCTCATACAGCTTGGCTCTTTCCTCCGCAAAAGTTCATTACTTCAATACCCTCATAACCACACTCTCCCGCGAACCCAAACGACTATTTCACACATTTAATTCTCTTCTTCACCCTGCTGTTCCTCCTCCACCTACTAACTTGACCGCCTCAGACTTTGCAACTCACTTCACTGACAAGATCTCTACAATCAGAGAAGAGATCTCTCATCTTTCTTCTTCCCCTTACAATACTTCCCCTAATTCATTCCCTCTGCTGTTCTATGTTCATTCACACCCGCTACATTGGAAGAGGTTTCTGCTCTGCTCCAGTCCTCCCGCCCCACGATCTGCTCCCTAGATCCAATTCCCTCGCATCTCATCCATACTCTGTCTTCTTCTCTTTCTCAACCACTCACTAAAATTCTCAATCTCTCTCTCTCCTCTGGTATATTTCCATTGCCCTTCAAACATGCAACTGTAACCCCAATTCTAAAGAAGCCCAATCTTGACCCTAACTCCCCATCCAACTATCGTCCTATCTCGCTACTGCCTTTTGCATCCAAGATCCTTCCTCGAGTCCAACTCTCTGCTAGACCCGCTTCAGTCTGGTTTCTGCGCTAAGCACTTTGTGGAAACGGCCAGTATCCAATGATCTACTCACTGCAAAATCTCGTGGTCACTACTCTATCCTAATTCTCCTTGACCTGTCTGCGGCTTTTGACACTGTTGATCATCAACAGCTTCTTCTCATCCTCCACAATATCAGTCTACAAGATATTGCTCTCTCCTGGTGCTCCTCCTACCTCTCCCAGCGCTCTTTCAGTGTTTCTTTCTCTGGCTCTGCTTCTTCTCCCCAACTCCTCTCTGTTGGTGTCCCCCAAGGTTCAGTCCTTGGTCCCCTACTGTTCTCCATCTATACTGCCTCCCTTGGTAAACTCATTAGCTCCTTTGGCTTCCAATATAATTTCTATGCAGATGACACGCAAATCTACCTGTCCTCTCCTGATCTCTTCCCGTCCCTCTTGACTAGTGTCTCTGACTGCCTCTCTGCTGTTTCTAACTGGATGGCTGCCCACTTCCTTAAACTAAACTTGACCAAAACTGAAATTCTGGTCTTTCCTCCCTCAAGTGTTGTTACTCCTGTGTCTGTCTCCCTCCAAGTCAACGGTGCTACCATCAGCTCCACCATGCAGGCTCGCTGCCTAAGTGTTCTCTTTGACTCCGACCTCTCCTTCAAGCCTCATGTTCAATCTATCGCCAAATCCTGTCATTTCCATCTCAAAAACATTGCGCGCATCCGCCCCTACTTAACGCCAGATGCGACTAAGGTGTTGGTCCATTCCACTGTCCTTTCTCGTCTTGACTACTGTAATCCGCTTCTCAGTGGTCTTACGTGCTCCCAACTTGTGCCGTTACAGTCCATAATGAATGCGGCGGCGAGGCACATCTTCCTGTCCGCCCGCACCTCCCATGCCTCACCCTTCTGTCAGTCCCTACATTGGCTTCCTATAAAATATAGAGTTCAATTTAAAATTCTGGTTATTGCTTTCAAATCTCTACATAATGCTGCTCCCACCTATCTATCCTTCCTAATACACAAGTATGTCCCGTCTAGGCCCTTACGATCTGCTGAAGACTTATGTCTATCTTCTGTTCGTACTCTGATGCTCGCTTTCAAGATTTCTCGAGGGCTGCACCGTTCCTGTGGAACTCGCTTCCCTCCTCCGTTAGATGCTCACCCAGTCTCCACTCCTTCAAAAAATTGTTAAAAACCCACTTCTTCATAAAAGCGTATCAACTAAACTGTTAATAGCTCCTGCCTGATTCCTCTTCTGCAACTGTCACTAGTCTAATACTATCCTTACCTTTTTGTGTCATTTTACTCCACTCCCTCTAGCATGTAAGCTCATTGAGCAGGGCCCTCAACCCTGTGTGTCCAACTTGTCACTACATGTCTGTTTGTCCACCCATTGTAAAGCGCTGCAGAATTTGACGGCGCTCTATAAATATCAAAATAATAATAATAATTTGATGTCAAAGTGTGAGGATTGATAGGGGCGAGATAAGACCAGGTGATCATCTTGTCAGCTGCTTTTCTTATGGATTTGTTGGTGGTAAAATGTATTTCATGCGGCATTCGGTTATTTATGGGATCTGAACGGTACTTTCCCAAAGTGTGAGCTCAGACCCCAGCTATCTGCCGAACGGTCATGCGGTACAATGGCACGAATAAAGTATAAGTTACAGATTTTTGTGTGAAAAGCCGGTTCTGCTGTACGTAGGGATAATTCACTTAACAAGATATTCTCGTGGGAGTATCCCTCTCGTACAGCAGTGCATGGTGGGAGAAATGTCCTGCATGTTCAGTTCCCCATGTAGTCCTCTACTGTACAACCCCTGTAAAGTGACTAAGGAAACCCCTTGCATGGGGAATCACATAAATACTGGAGCTTGTGAATAAAATCGTCAGTTGACTCCCAGAACTGTGTTTCGTCCGGGTACTGGGGGATTTGGGATATTGCCTTCATTTTTAGTGCTTTACTTGGATTACTTTCTGTACCAGCGGAGATATTGGGATTTAATATTGCAGCTCCGCTACAACGTCCACTTCCGGTTTTCGGAGTGGTACGTCGTTGCTCGATGACGTATTTCCGCCTGTGTTTTGTTATAGACCGGCCACGTCTTAAGCCAGAGTGGGGAACTCCTCCCATCTTCCAACGTCAAAGACGAAAGTCCCAAAAGGGGAAGAGGGAGAGTGTCCATATCGTCCATATTCGAAGTCCATCATACACACCGTTATAGGCCCTCTACTCCCCATAAGTCTCCATTTTGGAAAGGGGCAAGCATCCCAAAGGTCATATGGAACAGATAATAAAAAGATATAAAGTGCATATTGTAACAAGTGACAAACAATACATATTCACAATATGGTAATAAAGTGCATATCTAAACTCACACCACAACATAAATTTTTTTTAAAGGGACCTTTTTTTTTTTTTTTTTTTTATGCTATTTTTAAAAAGGAAAGTGGAATATGTAATTAGTTTTAATGGACATCTGTTTAAGACATATATGTTCAAGAACAGCTGGGTTATAAAATGGAGTGTAACGGACCGTTTTGCACACAAGAGGTTAAAAACCGTTTAGGCGATATTCCCCTTTTCAGATGCACAGGCAAGTACTGATATCACCAATCTCCCGAACTGCAACCACACGAATTCACCAATCTCCCGAACTGCAAACACATGAAAACTCCAACTCCCAAACAGGAAACACACGAATGCTGTAAACAGCCGAACAGGAAAAAACATACAAGCAGTTTACACTCCTGGAAGTCGCAATGTAACAGCAGACAATCCAATTCCCCCCAAGAACGAGACAACACTTCGTTTGAGGGTCAAGCAGAACTGATTTACTGGGGCTACCTGCCCGGCTTTTATGCAGGTCTCCCACCTACTGGACACTCCCCTAGGGGACCAGATGGAAGACTGGGAAACATATTGGACATTGACCAATCACAAGTTTACAATCCCACAATGCATCATAATCCCTCCTCTCTGTCCGGGAGATAATTGGGAAGTAATCCAATTATCTCCAAGGACAGAGGCAAAACTCCATTAACCACATGGCAGACAAAGGACAAAAAAAGACATAAAATTACACAATGTTACAAATACTACATAAAACATATACATTCAACATATCTCCAGATAGCTTAGATCTAAGCGCACATTATTACCGAATGGCGCTCAGATCACATACATACAGTTCAATCGCCATGGAGCCAAAGTCTTTCCCATAGTCTTTCAGTATATGAATGGGCTCCATGGCTTAGCTATCTGGTGTAACACTGCTCACATAGGGAAAATAAAAGGTTTTTAATGCAGGGCCATAGTCAAGCGGCAAGAGGTGGGCAACCAGGCTCCTCCAGTAACCAGTGGCGAGGTTGATTCCGCCACATTTCTCCCCTTTACCAATCAGACTAGCAGGGTATCTGACCTCCTGTTGGTCAGTGCCCTGGTTAGTCCAGCAACCCACCCACAACACATAATCAACAGAGTGGCCCACCCACAAGAATTGGTTACTGCACCTGGGGTAGTGGGTAGCTTGTCCATGTCCAGGAGCTCCACCACGACTCTGGGGGGTACTAGCCTTCCGGATCGGTGGGTTGCTGAGTGGGCAAAGACCAGCGGTACTCTGCCCTGGTGCCAGCGCTACCACTGGAGTAGCCTGGTTCTAGACCAGCTGAGGAGAAGGGGTAGTAGGCTCCTCACTCTGGACCTGGTGTTGCTGCTGGAGGGGAAGACAGGCTGTCTCCCCTTTGGATAAACAGCCCTGCTGCTGGGGGACAGGACCGACCGTCCCTACCTCCTGTGGCTTGGGCACAGGGACCACGGTCCCAGCTGCACCGGTATGAGGCTTATCATCTCCCCTTGGTGGGCTAGGCAGCCGCTGGGGAGGGAGAACGAGGCTCTCCCCTTCCAGTAAAATACTCTGCCGCTGGGAAGCAGAACCGACTGTCCGTAATCCCTGTAGCTTGGGCACAGAGACCACGGTCCCATCTGCGCCGGTGGGGAGCTTAATGTCTCCCCTTGGTGGGCTACGCTGCCGCTGGGGAGAGGGGGTAACAGGCTCCTCTCCCTGACACTCTCTCTGCTGGTGGAGAGGGTGACCGACTGTCTCCCCTTTCAATATATTGTCCCGCTGCTGGGGATCGAGACCGACTGTCTCTGCTCCCTGCTGGAAACACTGCCGCTGGGGAGGAAGGACGGCACCTTCAGCTCCCTGGGACTCACACTGCCGCTGGGGAGGAAGGACAGCACCTTCAGCTCCCTGGGACTCAATTGACTGTTGGGGAGAGGGACCAACTGTCTCCTCTCCTAAGAACACACTGCCGCTGGGAAGGAAGAACGACACCTTCAGCTCCCTGGGATACATACTGCTGCTGGGGAGCAAGGACGGCACCTTTAGCTCCCTGGGACTCACTTGACCGCTGGGGAGAGGGACCAACTGTCTCCTCTCCTAATGACACACACTGCCGCTGGGGAGGAAGGACGACACCTTCAGCTCCCTGTAACACATACTGCCGCTGGGGAGGAAGACGGCACCTTCAGCTTCCTATAACACCCACTGCCGCTGGGGAGGAAGGACAGCACCTTCGGCTCCCTGTAACACACACTGCCGCTGGGGAGGAAGGACGGCACCTTCGGCTCCCTGTAACACACACTGCCGCTGGGGAGGAAGGACGGCACCTTCGGCTCCCTGTAACACACACTGCCGCTGGGGAGGAAGGATGGCACCTTCGGCTCCCTGGAACTCACTGGACTGCTGGGGAGAGGGACCAACTGTCTCCTCTCCTAAGGACACACACTGCCGCTGGGGAGGAAGGACGACACCTTCAGCTCCCTCTAACAAACACTGCCACTGGGGAGGAAGGACGGCACCTTTGTCTCCCTGTAATTCCCTTGACTGCTGGGGAGAGGGACCAACTGTCTCCTCTCCTAATGACACACACTGTAGCTGGGGAGGAAGGATGGCACCTTCGTCTCCCCGTAACTCACTCGGACCGTTTTGCACACAAGATGTTAAAATCTGTTTAGGCGATATTCCCCTTTTCAGATGCACAGGCAGGTACTGCAATCACCAATCTCCCGAATTGCAACCACACGAATTCACCAATCTCCCGAACTGCAAACACATGAAAACTCCAACTCCCAAACAGGAAACACACGAATGCTGTAAACAGCCGAACAGGAAAAACCATACAAGCAGTTTACACTCCTGGGAGTCGCAATGTAACAGCAGACAATCCAATTCCCCCCAAGAACGAGACAACACTTCGTTTGAGGGTCAAGCAGAACTGATTTACTGGGGCTACCTGCCCGGCTTTTATGCAGGTCTCCCACCTGGTGGAAACGCCCCTAGGGGACCAGATGGAAGACTGGGAAACATATTGGACATTGACCAATCACAAGCTTACAATCCCACAATGCATCACAATCCCTCCTCTCTGTCCTGGAGATAATTGGGAAGTAATCCAATTATCTCCAAGGACAGAAGCAAAACTCCATTAATCACATGGCAGACAAAGGACAATAAAAGACATAAAATTACACAATGTTACAATTACTACATAAAACATATACATTCAACATATCCCCAGATAGCTTAGCTTAGATCTGAGCGCACACTATTACCGAATGGCGCTCAGATCACATACATACAGTTCAATTGTCTTTCCCATAGTCTTTCGGTATATGAATGGGCTCCATGGCTTAGCTATCTGGGGTAACACTGCTCACATAGGGAAAATAAAAGGTTTTTAATGCAGGGCCATAGTCAAGCGGCAAGAGGTGGGCAACCAGGCTCCTCCAGTGGCCAGTGGCGAGGTTGGTTCCGCCACATGGAGTTAATCTCAAAATCTATATTAAGCCCTCTCGGTGTTAAGGTGCGTAACTCAAAAATCCATTTTGTTTCTTGCAGGCTTTGTTTTTTGTTAAAGTCACCCCCTCTCCAATGCATGGTAACTTTTTCAATCATACAAAATTCCAATTTTTTGGGATCAGAATTGTGCTTTTCTAAAAAATGCTTTGACACACTATGATTGGTAAAACCTCTCTTTATGTTTCTTATGTGTTCACTAATTCTTATATTAAGTGCTCTGGTAGTTTTGCCCACATCTTGAAGCCCACACTCACATGATAGTAAATAAATTATCAGATTCTAAAACCTGGTTAATCTCCTGTTGTAAACTTTCCTCAGAGTATCCCTTTTGTTTAAAGTGTTCTTTCAAAGCATTAGCTTGAATTTTAAAAACTAACTGTTCAGAGCAATTTCTACAAAGTCTTAAGAATTGCCCTTTGGGTATATTTTTTAGGCATGGATAATGATGACAGCTATCTGTTTCGATATAGCTGTTCACATCTACTTGTTTAAAATGTGTACGAGTATTAACCTTATTATTACAAATACAAATCTCTAAAAAGTCTAAAAAGCTGATGTTTGTTTTACTAACAACCTTGGTTAACGTTATTCCCCATGTATTAGAATTCAAAAATAGAAAGAATTGTTGAAACTGTTGGATAGATCCTTTCCAGATCAGGAAGATGTCATGTATATATCTCCTATAGAGGACCAAGTTCGCAATTATTTTTCCCAAAATGCCATGAATAAATTAGTGTAACTCAGCGCGAACTTGGTCCCCTTAGCAGTCCCCCTGATCTGAAGATAAAAATTCCCTTCAAACCAAAAATAATTATTTAAAATCATCCTAATCCCCTCTAAAATAATATCCGTCTGTACTTCCTGGGATTGTTTAGATTCTATAAAAAAATGTATGGACGATATGGACACCCCCCCCCTTCCCCTTTTGGGACTTTCGTCTTTGACGTTGGAATATGGGAGGGGTTCCCCACTCTGGCGGAAGAAGCGGCCGGTCTATAACAAAACACAGTCGGAAATACATCATCAGACAACGACCTACCACTCCGAAAACCGGAAGTGGACGCCACCGGAAGGAGACGCACCGCCATTTGCCATACCCGGAAGTGATCGCATACAGGGACATTTCTATGTATTGTGCTGAAAACCAGAAGCACCACCATCTTAGTGGTGGCGAGCTACTTCCGGCTGTGGCCATATTTGGTCATTCAATTACCCTAATTTAGCCACTACACCTGTGACCCTATATCCATTAGGGGGTATATATGGGTGTACAGGCAAAGGGGAAAGAATAAATTGTATATATGTGTAGACCACTCAGGTGCAGCAATATAGATTGAAATAAAGGTAATTACTTCCCTTATATTTTAGGTCGTAACAAAGGATTCCTCAAAATCCTCAAATACAAATATGAAATGCAAGATACACCTAAAAAGACAGAGGCAAAAAGAAATTCATAGGGCAACACTATACAATCAAAAGTGGCCCCTTGATAATAGTAATGCACTCACAAGATGTACAAATTTTTCAAGCCCGTCAATATCTCTTTAAGTATTCAGCTGCAGAGATTCTCAATATCCAAGGATGCATGCCAAAAGAAAAAAACTGGACATAGTACAGCAATGTTTAAAATATAAAATGACACACTTTAATTAAACACACTTACAAGAAGTAAAAAAAGTGAAAAGGCTCATCAATAAATCTCTGTATCCCTCAATCCCAGATGGTATGAAGGTGAGGTAGAAGACAGGAATAGCGAGCAACAGTAAAAAAGCTCAACGCGTTTCGTCTACTATCAGTGTAGACTTCCTCAGGAGCAAGCGAATTATAAAATCAAATATAGCAACAATAAATCAAACATTACAATGTATCAAATGCCCGCGATTGCTTTTAAGTGTCCCCCTCGTCGTGCTTCCGTTCATTCCGCCAATCCGTTGCGCTGGGGTCACCTGTCCTCAGTTGTTCATTAGTCCGTGTCCATATATGGACTTCCGTTGATCTTCGTGGAACGCATATGCGTTCCACCTATTGTCGGCCCAAGAGGACGTCATCACCTGCGCGTGGAATGCACATGCGTTCCATTTCCCCAGTTCCGTCGATCGGCATAAGTTTAAATAGTCAGGGGTATAGAAGACATCATAAAAAAATCATAAAAAATGCCTAGATATATTAGAAAAAGACTGGATATATTAGAAGAAATTTACTTAGTAGATATTATACCAATAACAGTTATTTACACATCTCATCCGATGTAATTAAAAAAGTAAAGAGTAAACAGTCAATGCATAAAAAGAAAGGAAACATAATGGACACAAATAAGTATCATCTTCCCTCTAAAATAAAATCCGTCTGTACTTCCTGGAATTGTTTAGATTCTATAAAAAAATGTATGGACGATATGGACACACCCCCCCCCTTCCCCTTTTGGGACTTTCGTCTTTGACGTTGGAAGATGGGAGGGGTTTCCCACGCTGGCGGAAGACGCGGCTGGTCTATAACAAAACACAGGCGGAAATACATCATCAGACAACAACGTACCTCTCCGAAAACCGGAAGTGGACGTCACTGGAAGGAGACGCACCGCCATTTGCCATACCCGGAAGTGATCGCATACAGGGACATTTCTATGTATTGTGCTGCAAACCAGAAGCACCACCATCTTAGTGGTGGTGAGCTGCTTCTGGCTGTGGCCATATTTGGTCATTCAATTACCCTAATTTAGCCACTACACCTGTGACCCTATATCCATTAGGGGGTATATATGGGTGTACAGGCAAAGGAGAAAGATATGCTGCACCTGAGGAAGACCATAATAGGGTCAAAACGCGTTGTGCTATATATGAGTAAAAATTCCAACTTTGAACAAATCCATTTGATTCATGGGTTCCTAAAATTCGAATATTAAAGGACCTCCAAGGACAAGGATCCAGCATATCCCACTAAGTGGATGAAATGCTTCTATAGTCCAGCGCCTAACTTATTTGGCTCTGGAAATTGTGAGTGCACCTTTTTCCTTTTATTACAGTATACATTTGTTTAAACAGTATACACTCAGGGCCGGACTGGCCCACCGGAATACCAGGAAATTTCCAGTTGGGCCGTCGGCACCTGCGGCCGCAGAGGGAGCTCTTTTGGCGGCTGTAGGGGGAGCTGGCTGTTCTGTCTCTGCTCCCCCGCACTTGCGCGCTAGAAAGAGACCGGGGCCGGAATATGACGTCATATTCCAGTTTCATTAAGTGGCGCGCTGGGGCGGGGGAGCAGAAACAGAACAGCCAGCTCCCCCTGCGGCCACCAAAAGAGCTCCCTCTGCCGCCAGAAGACTCAGCTCCCCTATGTGGCCGCCAACACAAAGGTAGAAATTATGCGTGTCAGTGTGAGTGTATATGTGTCTGTGTCATTGTGTGTGTGTCTGTGTCATTGTGTGTGTGTGTCTCTGTCTGTCATGGTGTGTGCGTCTGTCTGTGTCATTGTGTGTCTGTGTCATTGTGTGTGTGTGTCTCTGTCATGGTGTGTCTGTCTGTGTCATGGTGTGTGTGTCTCTGTGTCTCTGTGTCATGGTGTGTGTGTCTGTCTGTATCATGGTGTGTGTGGGTGTGTCTCTGTCCGTCATGGTGTGTCTGTCTGTGTCATGGTGTGTGTGTGTAACGAAATCCCTTATTAAACAGACCATGCCAACCAGCCTGTTCGGTTATTTGGATGATTACAGCGGGATTACGTGCAAATAGCGAGAAAAGCGAATGAACTACCGAACCACCCGACCTCCCACTGAGGTCGTGTGGCGCCTATTAACCACCCACACTATTGCGGTTAACCACAGACTAATTGGGGAATAGCTGGTGGTCCGCGTTCGTTTACCGAACACGTGGCAATCGCCATTTTGGATTGTCGAACACTCAACGGTAAATGGCGAGGATTCCCTGGAACTAACTTCGGCTACTTATTTTGTCGAACACCGCTGCTACCTCTTCAAATCCTCGTTCGTACAGTGGAAAAACACACGAATGAAGGAGATACTACTTCATTCGTGCGCTGGAAGTATGCGAAAGTGATTTTTATGCTGTTTTGCTAAAATAAGAAAAGCCATGTTTCTTTCTACCTGGAGATAATTAAGGCTCTCTTTGCTACCTTAAGTTAATTATCTCCAGGATGGAAAAGAGGGAGTGATTTATGTAAAAGGGGAGTGCTTATGCTATAGCCACTGTGATTGGCTACTGTGATACTTTTGTCCCAGACTTCCATCTGGTCCCCTAGGGGAGTGTCCCCCAGGTGGGAGACCTGCATAAATACCGGGCAGGTAGCCCACAGTAAATGAGATTGTTTTACCCCTTCATGAAGTCTCGATTCATGTTTGGGGGATTAGGAGTTATAATCACTTCGTTTCAGCTGGATTTCGGGAGAAGCTGCAGGGATCATCGTTGCACGAATAGAAGGATCCTTTACAGTGTGTGTCTGTCTGTGTCATGCAATGTGTGTCTGTGTTATTGTGTGTCTGTCTGTGTCATGGTGTGTGTGTCTCTGTCTGTCATGGTGTGTGTGTGTCTGTGTCATGCAATGTGTGTCTGTGTCATTGTGTGTGTGTGTCTGTCATGTAATGTGTGTCTGTCTTTGTCATGGTGTGTGTGTGTGTGTTTTTCATGGTGTGTGCGTGTGTGTGTCTGTCTGTGTCATGGTGTGTGTGTCTGTGTCACGGCCTCTCTGTGTCATAGTGTCTGTGTCATGGTGTGTGTGTCTGTCTGTGTCACTGTGTGTGTGTCTGTGTCACAGTTTGTGTCACAGTCTGTCTGTGTTATGGTGTGTGTGTGTGTCTTTTTTAAGGTGTGTGTCTGTCATGGTATATGTCTGTGTGTGTCATGGTATGTGTGTGTCTGTCATGGTATGTGAGTGTGTCTGTCATGGTATGTGTGTGTGTCTGTCATGGTGTGTGTGTGTCATGGTGTGTCTCTGTTTCTGTCTGTGTCACGGTGTGTGTGTGTCTGTGTCACGGTCTGTCTGTGTCATGGTGTGTGTCTGTCATGGTATGTGTGTTTTTTTCACCTTTTTCCACCCCACGTCGTGCTGGTCTCCCCTCGACTGGCCCTGCCTCTATGGCTGAGATCATCAAGCTTGATGATCTCAGCCAATCCGCACTGACACAGGAAGCACCTCTAGTGACCGTCTGAGTGTCTGTCACTAGGAAGCAATGTAAACACTGCCTTTTCTCTAAAAAGTCAGTGTTTACATTGAAAATCCTGCAGGGACAGGCTATAGACACCAGAACCACTACATTAAGCTGTGTGTGTGCGCGCGCCTGCTAGTGAGTGGGCTTGCTTGTGTGTGTTTGTGTGTGTGTGTGTGCGCGCGCCTGCTACTGAGTGAGCCTGTGTTTTTATGTCAATGACCTTATGTATATCAGTGAGATTATTTGTCTATGAGGCTGTGAATCAATCAGCTTGTGTCAGTGAGATTGTCTGTGTCTGCATGTGAGTATGCTTACTGTATAATTAAAAATTTTACTCTGAAAGGACCAATATTTTATATTGGAAAAAGCAATATATACATATATCAATCATCTAGGGTGGCAAGACATAGCCTTACATATTACATGCAACAATATATGGCGCAATGACTTATGGGGCTGGCATAGATTTTTTTCCCAGGGCTGCTTTGGAATCCCCAGTCCGGCCCTGTATACACTATGCTGTGCTTTTTATATTTATTGTATACAGGGTCCACAATAAAGAACTATAACTGTCAATAGGACCGAGCGCTATCACCTTTCTTTCTTTGTGGTTTCTATTTGGAGTGTACAGAGTGACTATATACTGAGGTGGTAAAAGCTGCACCAGTCTGTATTGTTTAAGCTTAGCACCTATTTGTTACGCTACTTGGGTGATTTGGATTGGAACTCAACTGCAGCTTGTAAAACTCCCTAATTACAATAGTGAAGAAACGGAGAATCTTTAAAGTATCAATACTGTAGCTTTAAGAAAAGAGAGAATCACTGGTAACTTGATTCAAACGAAGTTTTAATAAGTGTTAAACTTAAATGAATTGCATTTAGGCAATAATCCAATGAGAAGAAGTGCAAGTAATCAACAACACAAAGTTCATTATTAAGTATTTCCTCAGAGAGGCATTCAGTAACATTCTTTAGGTTAATGAGAATAATCTTCAATAGTAACTTTAAGCAAGTAGCTGAGAATATTTGCAAAGCAGGAACAGTTCATAGTAAATAAGCATGATGGGAGTTGTCCTCCATATAATTAGTAGTTTGAAGCAATGAAGATTTGAGTAAGCAAAGCATTAGTTCATTATTAAATGATATTGTAGACAAATAGCTGAAAGATATACTTAAGGTTAATCTGAGTTGTCCTCCAATAGTTCAGGGATATGGTCCACTTGTAAAGTAAGTGAGTTTCCGTTCTCCAGTAATCCTCTATGACATGACGCATACTTGTCTTAGTCCAGAAGGCTAGGACGACTTCAGAGTTTGTAGAGCCGGCATGTTCCAGGAACCGGCGTGCATTTTGGAAGTAGGACCCACATTGCCAGAGCCTGTGGAGAGGTAAGTCTGGCGGAAGTAGCTCCCAGTATCACCAAGCCCCCTCTCTCTGGCACGGTCTCCCTAAATACCGTTAGAGCCGCGTCAGAGGGGTGCCGAACCCGGAAGTGTTACCGCATGACACTATTTCACCTTCTACTGTTTGTGTGTTATTTGTTAGATCATGTATGATCACCTATTTGTTTTGTTATATCTCTAATAATTACAGAAATATTAGTGTAGCGGCTACAAGGATTGGGACACGAGTCTCGCCGCAAAGGATGCTTTTTTCCCTTCTCTTGATCTCTGTCAGCGCCGTCTTCAGTGATTATAGCCGAGAAGTGTCATATAGCTTTTCTCCCCAGACATTAGCCAAGACTTAAGATGAAAGTTGTAAAAAATGTAGATGAATGGATGTTCAATGTAATAATGTTGATTCTTCTTAATTTCTTCTCATCTTCGGTTGATTGATATATATACGTCTTTTGTATATATATTCTTGGGCCAAATGCTCGCCACAATAATATATGTCTATATTATTGAAAAGTAGTAATACGCAATCTGACTTACGGTTTCTTCAGGTTTATTCTTTGTTACGGATACATAATAAAGAATGTTACAGGATAGCGGACATTCAACAGCAGATGGTAATTGCTGGACTTCTGATGGGAGAGTTACATCGTTGTACAGAGCCAAGAGCCAAGCCAAGTGTGAGAGACCTCGTGTCCCTCTGTTACTATATAGAAGTGCTAATAGTAACGTCAGCATATAACTCTAGCCATATAAGGACAAGACCCCCGAATCCACATTCCAGAGCTCTAGGACAAAGAAAGCCTTGTGACTTATTGATACCATCTGTTACTTATGTCAATCCACACATCCATATATATAATCAATAGAAACATAGAATATGCAATATTCTACATTCCCTCTGTTTATGGTTTGTTTGAAAACCATAACACAATGTCACTTACCTGTCCATTCATACATCACTTGTATCACATTCATTGAGCATAGAACAAGATGTAGTCACAATTTTCTATTATATGAGAGTTCTTAGAAGGTCGAGTTTCTATCCCTCATAATGCTTACTTTACTTCAAAACTCCCTTTGTTTCAGCTATGTATTGATATCCATATCCATGTTACATCATAACTACTTGAACATAATATATACATATATAACAATAATAAATGAATAAAATAAAATATTTACAAATGTTGATCCAATAAACAATAAAGCAATCAGAAAGATCTACGTGCTCAGGTACAATCGTATCTTTGTAGATAACAAAATCAAGATCGTAACTTTCTAAATAATAACTGTGTATCACTATCATATTCCTAATAAAGACACATATAACAAAGTATTTTAATTCTCAATACCTGATATTACTTAAGTACTAATACATGTATTACTATAATATCCTGTCCAATTAGATTTCCATGAATCATCTGTTTTCTAGTAACTTAAAATCTTTAGGTCATTTGTATTCATGAATTACATTCCTATACCATTAATACCACCTAGTGATGATTGTATCAGTACTTTACAATCATAGTATTTAATTTGTATATTCAGTAGGCTCTCACTACCTAAAATATACCAACACTACTTATAAGTCTCATTCAAAGGATGTGTTATCAACCATGAAGTCTTATAATAATTCTTCAAATAGTATTCATGGTGTTAACAATACTTATTGTTCTAGAAATTCTTCACCCAGAAATCTTTCTATCATAGATTTGATTTTGTTCACATAATTATAATTTTCACTAAAATTCCACCTTGTAGTAACAAACTTTAAATTCAATAGAAACATAGTTTACTTTAAAAGAACTTGGAAAGAATAATATAAATTCATTAGCATCACTCTCTTCATTAGTATTGTGATGACTTATTAATGTAATACATCTCAACATAAAAGTAGGATTGTCCTAATGTTACCCTAACATTTATTCTGACCAATCCGTATTCCTTAGTACACTTCAACTGACTAAAGTAAAATAAAATAAAATAAACTTGGGGTCATACTGCCCAGAAACTCTTATTCCTAGTCTGTGTCTAACAAACTCATGGTAATCATAAAACAACTTAACAACGTATTCATTGGATACCATCATATCCAGAAACCTATTCTCCCTAGTCCATACCTTTATAGACTTAGGTCAAATATAATTGTGTACTATACTCTTTCCATTCAATTCAATTCCTCTTGGATCTCTGAACTCTTATATCCAAGGCCTTCTTAATGTATACTATTACTTAATATTAATCAATATAAATTATCCTTCCTTAGTTTTCTTCCTTATGTTACCATTGTTTGTTTTACTTCACCTCAATATAAACAAATTACTCATTATATTTAATCTATGAAATACTATTTAACTCAATCTTTGTGGTATTAAGTAACCATGATCCTTATTTTATCAACTTCATATTTTATCTACCTCTGATACTTCTCATTCTATGTATAGATAATAATGTAACAGTTCTTTTCAAAATACTATCCTATCATAATTTTCTAAGTACTCTCTTTTGGTATTAATACTCATAACTGTTAAATAACTTTTCATTGTCTTTTTTCTTCATTAATATTTAGGAATTAATATTTGTTAGTGTCAATCTTTTATTTCTTTGTAAGTCTGTTAATCTTCTGTATCGAATGAACTCTGTAGAATCTTCCATCAAAGTTTGCAGATCAGATGAAAAGTCTCTTTCCAACAGTCGATGTCCAGTTGCCTGAAGGAATGCTTTCCTGATTTATTGCCACATGGATCTGTCACGCTTTACCTACATTAAAACAAATAACATGTGCAGCATCAATACAATGGCTTACAATGTTTATATCTCATTATTATTATACAGTTTAACATTGAATCATATTGACTACACAAAACATACTCATATCTTCTCATGAGATCTACCATCTAGTGGTCATTACATTTATGCCATGTGATGTATAATCTTTAAATTTCCTTTATATTCAAATCTTTCTGAACATTTTATTAATCATACCCCCCTTTTAAACTGTTTAATAATCTGGAGGTATAACCTAATCACATATCAGATGTTACAACAAAATATTGTTTTCCACTATACTTTAGCTATAGCAGCCATCTTGTCCTAACACTGGCACCATTTTGTCACATGAAACAAACTACAAAAACATATATCGTTTCCTTCATCAAATGTATTTGTAAATCTAGGTTTTATTCTATCAAAACTTTTGTCTTCTATGTAGTCAAAATATATGTATGTCCAGGCTTTGCAAAATATAGTAATCCATTATCAGTCATGACATTAAAATCTCATTCTCATGAATTAAATCAAAGATTTTAAATCAACCTCAGAAGCAACAAAGAATAAATCCATTGTTTTTTCTTCTGTAAAATGATTGGAGTTACTGTATAATCGCACACACCCAATATAACATTGCATGTTCCTCACTGCTACATTAGTGTATTTCATTCTGTCATATTTGCAAACTTGATGTAAATTTTTATTTTAATTAATTAACCTAATACTTTCTTATAACACACATAAAACAATGAAAAAACAGTACAGACTAACAAGTCATTTAAAACAACAAACTAACATAGATCTCTATTCTTGGCTGTTTTTAATTCTGGAATCAGCCTGTGTACCTCTGTTGGCACACATATCCAGGCTCATTCTCTAAACTGATCATATCTCGTGAATTTATCTGATTCTTATAACTTTCTGTGTTACACTGCATTGCTTGTCTGTCTCTTAATTTCGATTTAGCTAAAATTGCTTTTATTTGTCTGATTATCAGTTTACAAGGAAAGGCTTTTATTGATTTATCTCCACATGTATTTTCTCTGTCAGAATTTTCAATCAACAAATTTAATTTCTCATTTGCTTTTGATTTGATATCTCGGATAAAATATCTGCAAGATCTTAAATAATGTTGTTTATTGCACCAAAAACAAATAACTTTAGGAGTTATATTCTGCCTTTTATTTGAGCAAATTGGGAGGGGCTCAGCTGTCTGTATCTCTTTTACACTGAGTCCACAAAGAAGAAGAAGGAGGGGGACGAGGGCTGTAACATCTGCACTTCTTTCTCTGCCTAATTCCACAAGTCATTTTAACCCCTTCATTATTGGTTACTCTCCTTAAGTTATCCAAGAACAAAGCTACTTCTGTCAAAGTGCTTTTTTCTCTAGCTAACACAATTGCAGTTGGATCTAGATCTTGAAATTTTTTCACAAATTCATTAATTAACTGATTCTCAGGAAAATTAGCAACAAGTCTATATGCATTTTCAAATTTTACAAGAAAACTAAATATATCCTCCCCCTTGTGTGGTTTTAGTTTTTCCAACATTTCAGTGTCTGCAAAATCATTCCCTGTTGTTAATTTTATTAATTGTGTTAATCTGTCTTGCTTATTTCCATATATTATTTCATCATTGTCCTCGAATTTTACAGGTGCGGTCAGCCTACATGCCATTTGAGTCGGCAGCCATATTTGAAATAGTCTATTCCTTTGTTCGTCATTTAGGCTGTATTTGTCTAAATTAGACTCAAACATTTCAGCATTAGTAAATGCATCCACTGACGTGTCATAAACTGGAATACATTTCACAATTTTCATTAATTGTTCATGGATTTTCAAATTAAGTTTTGCAGCTCTGTCTTGAAATTTACATTTCTGCAAATCACTCTGTGAGGATACATTTTCAGTATCTGTTAGTTCTGGGATTAGATTCTGTGCCTGTATTTTTCTTGTATTAACACACACTTGCTTTACTTCATTTGTAAACTGGCAACTAAAATCATTTCTTAATTCAACTCTATCCTCTAATTCACAGACTTTTTCTAACAATGTTCTCTCTGTTACTTTGTTACACTGTTCATTTAAATCTGATTTGTCTTCTGTTAACCCATTCAAATCTACTTCTTTTTCTGCTGATTCTAAATTGTCTTTACCTGTATTTCGTTTACAAATCAATGCATTGTAAGTACAGACTAGTTTCATAACATTTCTGATCTTTTGTTTTTTCTTATTAACAAACAATTTCTTGGCAATTTCACTATTGGCAATTTCACATTGTGTGTATAAAGATTGCCACAATACAGCATCTGAATAGCTGCTATTACATGCAAACTGCAATTTACTTTTCTCTGCAATATCATTTATGAATTCCATGTTACTCACCAGATCAGTTATTTCTGTCTAATTCGTTGCTTCATCCACACAGCTGCGCAGTTCTTTGCTTGGACGCTTGCCAATGTCTGCCACGTGCTTGCTTCTAGAATTCACGTTGTATCTTGTGCTTTTTGTCTCAGTTGTAGAAAATAGTCTTGTACAGTCTTTATGATTTGAAAACTCTATTTTTCTTACAAACCACAGTTCTTCTATGATAGTCAGTCTAGATTCTTTTTTTCTCTTCAAGTTTGTTTTCCCAGTTCCAAAATAGCTTTGTAACTCGATTCTTCTCTCTCCCCCCTTGAAGTGGGAACAAAACTTGAATAGAAGACTGGCTGGCTAGCCAATGTAAAAAATGTAGATGAATGGATGTTCAATGTAATAATGTTGATTCTTCTTAATTTCTTCTCATCTTCGGTTGATTGATATATATACGTCTTTTGTATATATATTCTTGGGCCAAATGCTCGCCACAATAATATATGTCTATATTATTGAAAAGTAGTAATACTCAATCTGACTTACGGTTTCTTCAGGTTTATTCTTTGTTACGGATACATAATAAAGGATGTTACAGGATAGTGGACATTCAACAGCAGATGGTAATTGCTGGACTTCTGATGGGAGAGTTACATCGTTGTACAGAGCCAAGAGCCAAGCCAAGTGTGAGAGACCTCGTGTCCCTCTGTTACTATATAGAAGTGCTAATACTAACGTCAGCATATAACTCTAGCCATATAAGGACAAGACCCCCGAATCCACATTCCAGAGCTCTCGGACAAAGAAAGCCTTGTGACTTATTGATACCATCTGTTACTTATGTCAATCCACACATCCATATATATAATCAATAGAAACATAGAATATGCAATATTCTACAAAAGTAGACTGGCTTATTCAGGGCAAGTGTAAAACCTGGTTGGAATGATCGTCACTGTTAAATCTTCTTAATTTCTTCTTGTCTTCAGTTGATTGATATATAGTCTTGGGCCAAATGCTCGCCACAATAATATATGTCTATATTATTGAAAAGTACTAATATGCAATCTGACTTACGGTTTCTTCAGGTTTATTCTTTGTTACGGATACATAATAAAACATAATAAATGATGTTACAGGATAACGGACATTCAACAGCAGATGGTAATTGTTGGACTTCTTTACATCCTTACATCTTTACATCGAGAGAGAGAGCCCGAGAGCCCAGAGCCAAGAGCGACCTCGTGTCCTTCTTTTACTATATTGATGTGCTTATACTAACGTCAGCATATAACTCTAGCCATATAAGGACAAAACCCCCACATCCACATTCCAGAGCTCTCGGACAAAGAAAGCCTTGTGACTTATTGATACCATCTGTTACTTATGTCAATCCACACATCCATATATATATAATCAATAGAAACATAGAATATGCAATATTCTACAGCAAGGTACATTCAATTTATACACAGACCCCCAGCATGGGGTCTCCACATATTTCAATACAAACTCCTCCCAGGTTTCCTCCATATAATTAGTAGTTATATGGAAATATTGAGTCAAGGACCTGTAACTCAATTATCTCTCAGTTACAGGGACCCACACAGAAACCCCCACAAGTTTTATATCCCCGGATAGCCCTGATCTGAGTACCCAAGTTGTCAAAATAGCACTCGGACCCATTTGGTGGAAAGGAATCGTCATCCGGGTAACGTTTTGACCGACCAGCCACGAGGTTGTAGCCCAAAATAGTTCGAGGACGAAATAGGCTGTAGCCGATCTCTGTTCGGGAGTTGCTGTGTGCATGAAAACAAGTGTTCAAGGAAGCTGTCAGTGTTACCCCATCGCTCTGTAGATTGTGTTTAAGAAAGCTTACTGGTTACTCCATCGCTCTGTAGGATGTGTTCAAGGAAGCTTACCGGTTACACCATCGCTCTGTAGAATGTGTTCAAGGAAGCTTACCGATTACCCAAACGCTCTGTAGGATGTGATAAAGGAAGCTTACCTCTAGCATTGAGTCTATAATTAGTCTGCGGATTGTGACTATATGGATTTTGTGACTAACGTAGATACTCGTCCTTTACTTATAAACATTTAGCAACAAATGGAAGTTGGTATATCTGACTAAATAAAAATCAGTCAGCACTATACATAATGCCCCACACCACCCAACAAACTCCACACTTCCCAGCAAACTAACTACCCTACTACACCATCCAGCAAACTCCACACTATCCAGCAAACTTAACTACCCCACTACACCACCCGGCAAACTAAATACCCCACTACACTAGCCAATCCCACACTACCCAGCAAATTTAACTACCCCATTACACTACTCAGCAAACTAACTTCCCCACTACACGACCCAGCTAACTGAACCACCCCACTGCACTACCCAACATACTCCATGTTTCCAAGAAAACTAACTACCCCACACTACCCAGCAAACTAACTACCCTACTACACCACCCAGCAAACTCCACAATACCCAGCAAACTTAACTACCCCACTACACCACCCGGCAAACTAACTACCCCACTACACTAGCCAACCCCACACTACCCAGCAAATTTAACTACCCCACTACACTACTCAGCAAACTAACCTCACCACTACACTACCCAGCCAACCCCACACTACCCAGCTAACTGAACCACCCCACTGCACTACCCAGCAAACCCCACATTACACAGCAAACTAACTATCTCACTAATCTACCCAGCCAACCCCACACTAGAAACATAGAATGTGACGGCAGATAAGAAGCATTCGGCCTCTAAATACTTTCATTAGTCCCTGGCCTTATCTTATAGTTAGGATAGCCTTATGCCTATCCCACGCATGCTTAAACTCCCTCACTGTGTTAACCTCTACCACTTCAGCTGGAAGGCTATTCCATGCATCCAATACCCTCTCAGTAAAGTAATATTTCCTGATATTATTTTTAAACCTTTGCCCCTCTAATTTAAGACACTGTCATCTTGTTGTGGTAGTTTTTCTTCTTTTAAATATAGTCTCCTCTTTTACTGTGTTGATTCCCTTTATGTATTTAAATGTTTCTATCATATCCCCCTGTCTCATCTTTCCTCCAAGCTATACATGTTAAGATCCTTTAACCTTTCCTGGTAAGTTTTATCCTGCAATCCATGTACCAGTTTAGTAGCCCTTCTTTGAACTCTCTAAAGTATCAATATCCATCTGGAGATACGGTCTCCAGTACTGCGTACAATACTCCAAGTGAGGTCACTACCCAGCAAACTTAACTACCCCACTACACTACCCAGCCAACCTCACACTACCCAGCTAACTTAACTACCCCACCACTCTACCCAGCCAACCCCACACTACTCAGCTAACCTAACTACCCCACTACTCTACCCAGCCAATGCCACAATACCCAGCTAACTTAAGTACCCCATTACTCTACCAAGCCAACCCCACAATACCCAGCTAATACACACCTAATACACTATAACTATAGATAAAAAAAAACATAATAAGAAAACTAGCCAGCTGAGATAAGGAATTCTATATTAAACAGACTGTGCAAGGAAGGAAGTTTCAACATTAGATCTCACTTTACAGGAAGTGTAAACATTAGATCTCACTTTACAGGAAGTGTCTAGGCAGGCTGCGTAAGTCACATGCAGCGAGGAGTGACTAGAGCTGTATAAACAAAATTATTTAACTTTTAAATGGCAGTGAATTGAACAGTGACACTGCAGGGGCATGATCTATACACCAAAACTGCTTCATAAAGCTGAAGTTGTTTTGGTGTTTAGAGTGTACCATTAAATAATATAAGTAGCTGTTAATATGTTTTGCGTAGTCAGTTAATTCATACAATTTGTGGCCCTTTTAATTCAGAGAGGAAACTAGTCTCAAAGCCTAATGGTTTTAATGTAGCAGGTAGGATGGATATAAATATTTTCACGTTTTCTACCCTGGTCCAGCTAGGATAAGGCTGAGTCCCTCCTAGTTCTCCTGTCTGATTTAATTTCTTTTGTTTAGGGATGGAAAATACTCGTTCTGTGATGGCTATCTTGGGCAAGGGATTCTCTGAGGCTGCATTTACCATTGCGTTCCTTTACACAGCTGAATTGTACCCGACAGTCCTCAGGTAACCAACAAATTACCAGGGAGGAAACCTGGAATAGACAATGAACAGTCTAAGTGCATATGTATTATATTATTATACACTGACAGCCAATATAATACATTATATAGTATACACACATTATTACACATCGCTGTGTATTATATTATTATACACTGACAGCCAATACATTATATAGTATACACACATTATTACACATCGCTGTGTATTATATTATTATACACTGACAGCCAATACATTATATAGTATACACACATTATTACACATCGCTGTGTATTATATTATTATACACTGACAGCCAATACATTATATAGTATACACACATTATTACACATCGCTGTGTATTATATTATTATACACTGACAGCCAATACAATACATTATATAGTATACACACATTACACACCGCTGTGTATTATATTATTATACACTGACAGCCAATACAATACATTATATATTATACACACATTACACACTGCTGTGTATTATATTATTATACACTGACAGCCAATACATTATATAGTATACACACATTATTACACACCGCTGTGTATTATATTATTATACACTGACAGACATTATATAGTATACACACATTATACAATACATTATACACTGACAGTATAGAGAAAAATCTATTCATACTTACCGTAATTTTCTTTTCTTGGTCATAGGCCATGGCAGCACAACAATGGGTAGCTCCTCCCCTATCCCTAATTAGACAGGAACTAATTAAAATAAAGGTACAAATACCCCCTCCTACCTCCTCCTCCCTCAGTCTAGTTAACAGTAAAATCCCTGGGTGGGATCTTTGTGCTACCATAGCCTATGACCAGGAAAAGAAAATTACGGTAAGTATGAGTAGATTTTTCTCTTTCCTGGCAGCACAACAATGGGTAATACCCAAGCTAAAACCAAGGGATGGAAAAAGAAAAACTCAGACAGATTAATATATAATGCAAGTGTATTATCACAATCAACAACATGTGACGAACCATATAAGAGAATAAATCAATCGTTTGAAGCAGAAAGAACCGATCTGTCAAACTCATCGTATTGACCAGCTCTTACGTCTAAACGATAATGTCTGATAAATGTATTAGAAGATGACCAAGTGGCTGCTTTGCAAATCAGTTCTGTAGAAACCTTTGCTGCAGCTGCCCAGGATGAAGAGAGAGAACGTGTAGAGTGTGCTTTCAAACCTTCAGGAATACTTGTTTTAGATGCTCGATAAGATTGGATAATAGCCAAAACTATCCATCTACTGAGAGTGGCTTTCGAAGCTTGGAGACCCTTCCTAGGGCCGTTAGGAATAACAAAAAGCCTTTCAGAACTACACCATTCTGAGGATCTTTGTATATATATCTTAAGACACCTCACTAAGTCGATAGCTTTCCAATCAGTGCTGTAACGGATCACCTGGCACCCCGACTGGGTACCTCCGTTGAAGGATGCTCCTAGCGCTTCCTGAGGACTCCAAGCACTGCAGCAGACACCACAACCAGTGCTTCCACTGGGGGGCTTGGGACATAGTCCGGCTCAGTAGCCAGGGGAATGTGGGGGTCAGTGGGGGTTAACATCTTCTCTGTTAACCCTGGGGCCAAGTTAGGAGATAGCTGGGGAGGGGAAATCGTACTTACCTCCTGTTGTTCCTGTGAGAGTAGTTGGGGATCTGGACAGGCTGTCCAACATCCCTGTGGGTCAGGCACAGAGACCACGGTCCCATCTGCGCCATCTAGAAGATTGGTTTCTCCCCTTGGTAGGGTAAGCTGCCGCTGGGGAGGGAGACCGACTGTCTCCACTCCCGTAACATTGTCCTGCTGCTGCGGAGAGAGACCAACTTTCTCTGCCCCCTGTAGAACACACTGCTGCTGGGGGGGAATGACAACACCTTTGGCCCCCTGGAATTCACACTGCCGCTGGGGAGGAAGGGCGACACCTTCGGCTCCCTGGAACTCACACTGCCGCTGGGGAGGAAGGACGACACCTTCGGCTCCCTTGAACTCACACTGCCGCTGGGGAGGAAGGACGACACTTTCGGCTCCCTGTAACTCGCACTGTCGCTGGGAAGGAGGGACGACACCTTCTGCTCCCTGGGACCCACACTGCCGCTGGGGAGGAAGGACGACACCTTCGGCTCCCTGTAACTCACACTGCCGCTGGGGAGGAAGGACAACACCTTCGGCTCCCGGGGACTCGCACTGCCGCTGGGGAGGAAGGGCGACACCTTTGGCTCCCTGGAACTCACACTGCTGCTGGGGAGGAAGGACGACACCTTCGGCTCCCTGGAACTCACACTGCCGCTGGGGAGGAAGGACTACACCTTCGGCTCCCGGGGACTCGCACTGCCGCTGGGGAGGAAGGGCGGCACCTTCAGCTCCCTGGAACTCACACTGCCGCCGGGGAGGAAGGACCACACCTTCGGCTCCTTGGAACTCACACTGCCACTGGGGAGGAAGGACGACACCTTCAGCTCCCTCTAGGGCCGGTAGAGAGACCTCGGTCCCATCTCTACCTGCCATCTGGAGGTCATCCGAGGACCAGTCAATGAGGTCTGGTTCTGCTTGTCGGGTAGGTTGGGGCTGCACGAAGCTGAGCAGGTGTTGGTAGTCCTGCTCCAGCTCCAACTCCCTTGTTACCAGGTGGTCAACCCAGACATACATGCCCATCCGGTAGTCGTAGATGTCCCAAAACCTAGACCCCTCCATGCTGCCAAGATCAATGTCGTCCTCCAAGGCATCCCATAATAACCCTGGGCCATCATAATCATCCCCCTCCGGTAAGTCGTGCTCGGCCGTCCAGGGGGTAAGTCGAATTGTATGCCACAGAGGGCCTGGTATGCGTTGTCTAGCCAGATCTCTCGCCATACCAGGGTCTCAAGTCTTGTCACCCACTCATCCAGGGGCTACTCTACCAATAGATACATCCGCATCGCCACACGCTTCTGTAGCTGCTGCTCATCACTGGTGAGACTCTCACCTCGCCGCCATTGGGCATCTTCCAGGGCATCATACCAGAGTTCCTTTCTGTCTGCATCCCACCGCTGCCACCACTGTAACAGATCACCTGGCACCCCGACTGGGTACCTCCGTTGAAGGATGCTCCTAGCGCTTCCTGAGGACTCCTGAAGACACCACAACCACCGCAGACTCCGCAACCGCTGTAGCTTGACTGGAGTCTCGCCATCTTCCTTCCACCCTGTATCAGCTTCTGTCCTCCAGGACCGTGTGGGAAAGACCTCTTCCTTCCACCCTGTATGAACCTCCAGCATCCAGGACTGTGTGGTGAAGACCTCTCCTCCGAGGAGAGCGTGTCAGGAACAAGCTCTTAAAAGAGCTAAGTGATTCAATCTCAGGGGAGTATGCAGAGCATAGCAATCCCCAGTGTGATTATAACAGCTCTCTCCAATAACAAGACAAGGCTACGTTTAGAGGGATCAAGAAGAACTGTCTAAACCTTTATTTCCCTTGGGACCAGCCCATAGGGACACCACAATAACATGTTGTGAAACCTCAATATAATCACAAACAGTCAAACCATAGCAGGCAACATACAGTGACTTATCACAACACAATGGCACATTTTTAAAGGGGTGGGGGAGACAATATTTAACAGTAAATATCTCACCTGCCTGCAGAATTAGCAATATGCAAATCTACCCGAATATGCAAATGAACCAGTCTTGCAATTCAGGTAGTGCATATTGCTGTTGCTACCAACAGAGGGCACTAGACAAGCTCCATAGCCAAACCCACCTAGTTGGTAGCAAACCTCAGCAGTACAGGAGAGCAGGCAATACATTTCACAGTACACACACACACACTATAAACAATTACATTACACACACCCTGCACCTATAATGGGTACAGGGTGACTAAAACATAAGATAAATAAAGCAGCCTACATAAATAGTCTGTCTGAAGGTAGACTAGGGGCTTTAAAGCCAAATACATGAAAGAGTCATAGTCACAGGGGAGGAGGCTGGCAAGCAGGCCTCTCCAGGACCAAGTGGTGAAGGGCACTTCATCACAAGCGTCTTCTCCGTTATTTGTTTCTTCTGAACTTAATGCTGGAAGAACTATTTCTTCATTTATATGGAACTCCGAAGTCACCTTAGGGCAGAATTCTGGAACAGTTCTTAGGATGACTCTGTCCTTATGAAATATAGTAAAAGGTTCTTGAGCCGAAAGAGCCTGAAGATCAGACACCCTTCTACCATATGCTAGGGCTACCAATAGAACTGTCTTGATCGTGAGAAGATGACAGGAAATTGATTCCAATGGTTCAAAAGGATCTGATTTAAGAGCCTTAAGGACCAGAGGGAGATCCCATGGAGGAGTAATAGACTTAATGGGGGGCTTGATTTTTAAGACTGCAGTCAGAAATCTTGCTATGTCCGAGTCCAATGCCCATTTATGATTGGTTAAAGCAGAGAGGGCTGAAATATGGACTTTCAAAGTATTATAACTTAATCCTTTCTCCAGGCCAGATTGTAGAAAATCAAGAATATCAGTGGTTGAAGGATTCCGAATATCCAAAGGTCTTGAACTGGCCCATGAAGAGAATACATCCCAGATTCTGTAATAAGTGGATGAAGTGGATTTCTTCCTTGCTTGAAGAAGTGTCTCAATTACTGATCTTGAAAACCCCTTGTTCTTTAACCCCTCCCTTTCAAGTACCATGCCATCAGATGAAGGGATGCTGCGTTTGGGTGAAGAATTGGACCCTGTTGTAGCAGAAATGGAACAGCTGGAAGACGCCACGGGTCTCTCTTGCATAGACTTAGTAGGAGTGGAAACCAAGGTCTGCATGGCCAAAAAGGGGCTATCAGAATCAGTGATGCCTTCTCTTGTCGCAGTCTCCTCAGTAGAGGGAAGATGAGAAGATTCGGAGGAAAGGCATATGCCAGGTCGAAGTCCCAAATGCATGTCAATGCATCCCTTCCTATGGCTTGGGGATCTGGAATTCTTGAGAAGAAATTCTTTACCTTCCTGTTGTTGCTTGTTGCCATCAGATCTATTTGTGGAAGACCCCATTTTTGTGCAATCTGTAGGAATATTTTGTTTGATAGACTCCATTCCCCTGGGTCTAATCTTACCATGCTGAGAAAGTCTGCTACTGAATTCTGTGTTCCTGGGAGATGTATTGCAGAGATGCTCTCCAAATTTATTTGTGCCCAGGACATCAGAGGTTTCATTATTTTCATCATTCTGCAACTCCTTGTCCCTCCTTGATGATTTATATATGCGACCACCGTGGCATTGTCTGTCCTGATTTTGACCCACTTGTGGAGTAGAAGTTGTTGCAAGTGCTTCAGAGCCTTGAAAACTGCCAGAAGCTCTAGGAGATTCGAAGGAGTGTTGGAAGTAAAAAATGACCACTTCCCTTGGACATAGTTGTCCTGAAGATGGGCTCCCCAACCCCATTGACTGGCATCTGTGGTGATAATGGTCCATGGGACATTTCCTAAGGGAAAACCTCTGAAGAGAAACTCCTTCTGAGTCCACCACTTCAGGGATTTTTGTACGTGAGAAGGGATACTTATAGGCTGAGACAGATTCCCCCCTTTGAATTGATAAAGGAAATTTCTTTGAAAGGGTCTCATCCTCCATTGGGCCCATCTTGTTAGTCCTATGGTGGGGGACATTGATCCCAGGAGGCTCATAACTTTCTCTGCCGAGGAAACACTGAATGCCAACATGTCTTTGACCTTTCTCTGAATTTTCATACCCCTTTCTGGGGACAGTTGAACTAAACCTTTTGCAGTGTTGAATGATGCTCCTAGGTATATCATGCACTGAGATGGGTTCAGGTTGCTTTTGGAGATATTGATCTTCCAACCGTGTTGCTGAAGAAACTGCATACATACTAGGCCATGATTTTCTAGGATATCTCTGCTTTCTGCCAGAATCAAGATGTTGTCTTGGTAATGATATATTGCGATGCCTTTCTTCCTGAGTTCTGCAATTAGAGCCACCAGAACTTTTGAGAAAGTATGTGGAGCAGTGCTTAGGCCAAAAGGGAGAGCACGGAACTGAAAGTGACCCTCTTCCACAGCGAATCTGAGGAATTTTTGATGCTGAGGTGCTATGGGAATATGGAAATACGCATCTGCAAGGTCTATTGACATGAGCCACTGTTCTGGAAAAACTGCTTTCACAATGGTTTGAAGGGACTCCATCTTGAATTTTCTTATGTTTAAGAACTTGTTTAACCTGCTTAGGTCTAATATTGGTCTCCAACCCCCTGTGGATTTTCTGGTGAGAAAAATATGGGAGTAAAACCCATGTGTCTGTTGAGCCCGTGGAACTTGAATGATAACTCCATCTTCTTGAAGGGATGAGATAAACTTTTTTAGGGTGTTTCTTTTTTCTATATCTCTTGGCCAGTTTGTCTTTTGGAAGGAGCGAGGCGGCGGTATTCTGGAGAACTCTATGAGATAACCTCTTTGTATTATATCCAGCACCCATCTGTCTTGAGTTGAATGTTTCCATATATTTTGGAATAGTAGTAGACGGGCACCTACTCCTCCAGATTGGGAAGTGAATTTGTCATAAAGGCTTCTTGTGTTGGAAGAATGTCCTCCTCTCCATGGAATAGATCTTCCGTATTCTCTTCCAGGTTTATATGATCTGGTATCTTGAAAGGGGGGGTATTCAGAGTATCTTCTGGCTCGAAAGGATCCACGGGTTTTCCGGTCTTGTGGGAGAAAAGCTCTTTCCCTTCTGCAGCTCTTTTGATACACTCGTCAAGATTTTTCCCAAACAGCATCTCACCATGAAAAGGAAGGGCACATAGACTAGACTTTGATGATGAGTCTGCGGACCAAGATCTCAGCCGCAAAGCTCTTCTAGCTGATACTGAGAGAGCCATGTTTCTTGCTAGAGCTTTCACCATATCCACCGAGGATTCTGGGGTAAAGTCAACGGCCAGTTTAATATCATCTCTGATATCTTCTTCCAAATTCTCGATCCAGATTTTCAAGGCCCTGGAAACCGATGTAAGGGCTATTGCAGGGTGAAAACCAGTACCTGCTGCTACATAAGCTTTTGAAAGATGTAAGTCCATCTTCTTGTCCATTGGGTGTCTAAATGAGCCTGCATCATCAACTGGTAATGTCTAGTCTAACTACTGCAGCATCCACTTTAGGGGCGTTATCCCAATGGTATGAATCAGATTTGTCAAAAGGATAGAGGCGAGAGATTCTGCCTTGTGCTGAAATCTTTTTGTCAGTATTGGACCATTCGTCCTTAATTAATTCCTTGATAGTATCATGTACTGGAAAGGTTGCTCTTTTCTTTCTCAAGTCTGAGAAGTAACGATAGGAAGTTGACTGCTCTGTAACTGCTACTTTCAAACTCAGAGATTTACGGACTTTATAAATAAGATGATCTATTTGAGCAGGTTCTAGAAAATCTGGAGGAGCCTGAGTTTCTTCTTCTGAAGATAAGAAATTTCGTTGGTATGACTCCATATCCATGGACTCGTCTGATGAATCGTTTTGTTGGTAATCTGAAGGGTCATGTAACCGGGGTCTTTTGGGTCTTGTACCTGCTTCTTTAATGCCCTGAGTCACCGCTTGTTTTATGAACTGCATAAACTCAGTTGAAGGATTAGATGTTCCGGCTGCTTCAGATAAACATTCTGCACATAATCGTTTGCCTTCCAGCGGTTTATTATTACAGGCATCGCATTGATTCTTTTTTTGTGATTTTCCTTTGGATGATCTCACCGTTTTCTTTCCCGTAGAACTATCATGACAGGGAAATATCTCATATTAGCTCTCTTTTATTTTATGTATTACACCTATAATATCAGAATGGAGAGAAAATGATATGGCTTACCTATAACTCTTAGAGTGGGACCTATTTTTATATCCAGAAGAGTCTGAACCAGAAGAGATTGATCTCCTTTTTCTTTCTCCATATTGGTATTGTTTTTGAATGGTCTAGCTAAAAGGAATTATTATTATTGAATAAAAAAGAAGAAAGAAAGATAGAATAAAAAAAATGTGTATATACCTCTGAGGATGCAAAACCTACCTTCAGATAAACTTGAAATTTTCAGAAGCTTTTCAAATTTGGATTCTGAAATGAAGCAGGTCCTTTGAGACCTAATGAAGTGATCAGGCAATGTTTTAATTCAATTTTGGCGCTTAAATAGGCGAATGACGTCATATCTGACATCACCGCCTATCCGCGCATGCTCCGAACGAGTAAAACCACCAATTGTTATATGCGCATTTGCGCAAAAGGAACTTCAGGACACCGGAAAGGCATGGAGATATTAATATTAATAAAAGACAGAACCATGAATGAAAAGAGGTATCTAGAAAAACTGTTTAGGCAGGAGGGGGAACCCACATATATAAGTATACCAAATACAGTATATATGAAAAAAGTATTTATGTGTATACATACATGTGGGCTGTCAATATGGAGAAATATACTGATCCATCCAGGATAAAGTCTTCTCGCCACTTCCTGCTACCTCTTGGTCACTGCAGGGAATAAGAGTTATTGCCAATTTTTTCTCTTGCTACCCCTAGGGTCACTGCAAGTAAACCCCCGGTCACTAAGGGGGTATCTTCAGGGGGACACCTTTGCACAGGGCCGGATACTGAAGCTTCCAAAGGAAGAGAGGCTGAACTCCTTTGAGGGCAGAAGGTAAAAACTCTCAAGGAAAGCCATAAAAAAAAAAGTGATTATAGTACTGAAATAGACTGATTTGGTCCTATAGGGATAGGACAGGAACAAAAAGACTGAGGGAGGAGGAGGTAGGAGGGGGTATTTGTACCTTTATTTTAATTAGTTCCTGTCTAATTAGGGATAGGGGAGGAGCTACCCATTTTTGTGCTGCCATGGATATGGCCAGGAAACACACATTACACACCGCTGTGTATTATATTATTATACACTGACAGCCAATACAATACATTATATATTATACACACATTATTACACACTGCTGTGTATTATATTATTATACACTGACAGCCAATACAATACATTATATATTATACAAGAATTACAACACTTCTATCTATCTATCTATCTATCTATCTATCTATCTATCTATCTATCTATCTATCTATCTATCCAGTATCTATCTATCTATCTATCTATCTATCTATCTATCTATCCAGTATCTATCTATCTATCTAGATATCTATCTAATCTAATCTCTCTCTGTGTTTATCTATCTAGTATCTATCTATATGTCTATCTATCTATCTATCTATCTATCTATCTATCTATCTATCTATCTGTCTGTCTGTCTATCTATCTATCTACTTTGTTCCTTGGCATCTATCTCTTTGCCTCTATTTAGGGAGAATGGTTACAGTTCACCTAACAGGACATTGCCTCTCCTACACCTTCTTTAAGAATAGTTCTCTGTTAATTTTCTTTTATTAGGTAGGACACGTTTCATTTTCCCTGGTTTAATTGTTTCGTGCAGATTTGGGTGGGTGGGTGGGTGGGGGACTCCATCTTGTGAGTCACTCCTAACCCCCTTACTCCTTGTCTCCTCAAACAGGGTGACCTGCCCCCTACCCATAATGCACTACTGTCTGAGACCAGGTAATATCTGGAGTTTTAATGACAATGCTCAGAATATTCCATAAACTCAGCAGGTGTATGTAGTTCAGTAATTGGCAGTAGTTTCATTCATTAATAGTCATGAATAAAACAGTTTCTTGAGCTGCGTACTCCACTCACGTTTATAACTGAATGGAACTAGGTGTAAACATAACAAATGCTCTCCCGAAGAGACGTCGGACGAGGCAGGGAACAGCATAATGTTATGATTACCAGAAAGACAGAAACATCCTACAATTGAGAGGGCATAGCATGTTCTGATACATGAAGTGTACGTATTAAAGGATCATATCATCTTACCTTGCTTGTATTGTGTAGGATTTCTAACCTTGATTGAATAATATTGTCTGCCAACACTGTGATTTAATTATTGGCTTTTGAAAAAATTATTTATAGAGCGTCCAAAGACTTCAAACTCTCCTAAAAGTGCCGTTGTTCTTTCTCGCCTTGACTACTGCAATCCCCTTCTCAGTGGTTTTACGTGTTCCCAGATTGCACCGCTGCACTCTATTATGAATGCGGAGGCGAGGCTCATTTTCCTGTCCGCCTGCACCTCCCACGCCTCCCCCTTCTGTCAGTCCCTACAATGGCTTCCAGTTAGATATAGGGCTCAATTTAAGATTCTGGTGCTTGCTTACAAGTCCCCAAAAACATAGAAGACCCCCATAAAACATACATTTCCTGATAGCTCCATTCTGGGGAAACAACATACTTAAAAATCACCCAGATCGGTTCAGGGGTTCAGAAGTTAGCTGGATGTCACATTTCTGCCCAGCCGCCTACTACCGCCCAGAATAGTTCCATAAGTTCAGCTGGGTCAGCCGGTCTATTTCAGGGGTAGGGAAACACATTAAAATAACGAAAGGACCGTTCGTGTCTATGATTCTCCAGTGTCTCTTGTTTGTCTGCTTTAATATACCGAACGCCGCTGCGTTCGTATGAAAAAGAAAGGAATCACTGGAAGTCTCAGCTGTGTTCATTCAAGCAAGTGCCTGAAAACAGTTCCATGCGCTCGACGACAAAACACAGCTGGCCGTTCGACAGTTTAAGATGGCTGCCGCCACGTGTTCGTGTGTACGAACGATGACCTCCCAGCCGTTCGTCAATTAAGCTGCGGTTAACCACAGCTTCTGGGAGGTTAATAGGCTGCACACTCCACTTGCAGGTGGTCCGGCTGTTCGTCAGTTTGTTCAGTAAACGAACACCATAAGCCTAATCCGTTCGACAAGCCCCATATACTGCCCCATAGCAGGGAAAAAGGCACTGGCCCAAAAACCAGTGGTGAGGTCATTTTCACCACAACGATTGGTATATGCATGGTGCACCATTGGTATATGCATGGCTCACAACTGGTATATGCATGGGGAACGATTGTTATATGGTATATGCATGGGGAACGATTGTTATATGCATGGGGCACAATTGGTACATGCATGGTACATGATTGGTATAGCTTCCTATTGAGGTTATAGCTGGTGACAGAGCCAAGGACTCTAATAATATACAAATAAACCAAGAAAAGAAATACAGAGAACACTGAGAATGAACAATAAGAATATTAGTAACTTGCCTTATGGTCGGTTACCACTGATGATATGGTATTAATCAGATTGATATCTTTTGGGTGATATGGTGTTAATCAGGTCGATATCCTGTGGGTGATATAGTACTAATCAGTTTAATATCCCGTGGTCGATATGGTATTAATCGGGTCGATATCCTGCAGGTGATATGATATTAATTAGGTTGATATTCCGTGGGTGATATTGTTTTAATTGGGTTGATATCCTGTGGGTGATATCGTACTAATCAGTTTGATATCTTGTGGGTGATATCGTATTAATCAATTGATATTCCGTGGGTGATATCGTACTAATCAATTGATATTCCGTGGGTGATATTGTTTTAATCGGGTTGATATCCTGTGGGTGATATCGTGTTAATCAATTGATATTCCGTGGGTGATATCGTATTGATCAATTGATATTCCGTGGGTGATATCGTACTAATCAATTGATATTCCGTGGGTGATATCGTATTAATCAATGTATATTCCGTGGGTGATATCGTATTAATCAATTGATATTCCGTGGGTGATATTGTTTTAATCGGGTTGATATCCTGTGGGTGATATCGTGCTAATCAATTGATATTCCGTGGGTGATATCGTATTGATCAATTGATATTCCGTGGGTGATATCGTACTAATCAGTTTGATATCTTGTGGGTGATATGATGATTTTTGGTTTTCTCTCTGCAGGCAGACTGGACTTGGTTTCTGTTCCTTTATGACGCGTCTGGGAAGCTCTTTGGCGCCTCTGGTGATCCTGCTGGAAGATGTTTGGGTATTTTTGCCCCACATTATATTTAGCTGTATGTCTCTAATCTCTGGGGCTGCGGCATTCTTACTGAACGAGACTTCACAAGTCCAGTTGCCCGAGACGATTCAGGATATAGAAATGGACAGGTTAGTTATGCCATTTAATAACTCTGGAATTACCTTACCAATTTCCTGAAAACTAAATATTTTCTCTTGTAAATATTAACTTAATGTTCCAAGTTGCCATTCGCTCTGTTAACCCCTTAAGGACAGTGGGCGTTCTACGCCGTCCTTTTTTAGGCGGTCCTAAACGCCAGCGGGCGGCATACCTGCCATCCTTCATCCTTGCAGATCAGGAACCCCCGGAGTCCTCGCGATCACATGGCTGAAATAACCGGCTTTTGCAGTGCCTGCAGGGAGACTGTCAGAACTATCAGGCAGTCCCCCTCGTGCCTGTACAAAAAAAAAAAAGTTAAATAAAGTTATAAAACTGTTTTTAAATTAAATAAAAAGTACTTGGATCATACATATATGATATAAGTACTTTTATATACACATACACACATAATTAATAAAAGTGTATTTTAATATTAATATATAATTATATATATTAATATTAAAATGACGTTTTATATATATAAAATAAAAATAATCAATAAATAAATTGAATTTTTTTTACAAAATTTATTTAAAAAAATAAAAAATTATATACCTGTTTAAATTCGTTCTAACTCTATTTTGATATTAATATATACATATGTTCAAATCAAAATACATTTAGAATGACGTTATAAAAACATATATGTATCTGGAAGTTTTTGTGTTTAATTTTGGAGTGCTTTAATGATATAAGGTTTTTTCGGTTTTTTTCTCTACTTAGAGTTGGTATGAATTGATTTTGCTGCTAACACACTCAATGTGTTGGACCCCAGACACACAGAGCAAGATCAAAAGGAAATATATCAGTGAGTGGAGCAGTATAATACAATGAACGTTTAGGTGATAAACCCAAACCTGACAAAGATATATTATAAATAAAAATAAAAATTGTTATAGTAATACTCAATGGTCAGTAGATGGCCCCAGATCAGCTCACAACACATATGGAGAAAAAAATAAATAATAGTGCCGACTGCTTTCAATAAGCACTAGTATTGACAAGATTTGTAAATATAACCAGATTCCCACTAAATTACCTAAGATAATTAGGTTAAGGATATCAAATAATAGTTAAATATTGAGAAGGCTCAGTTATAACAATAAAGGGCAAATAAATGTATTAAAAGAAGTCCTCATGGATAAAAGAAGAAAAAGATAAACAAACTGTCTCTTACAAAAGAGCATGGTGAGTAGGCTCGCAATACGCCATTACTCACTGCCAAGCTAAGTCAAGGTACATCCGGTGGTAGCTCTGGAGACCCTGGCTGTAGATGGTTGAGATGTCTAGGGATTTTCCTGTAGCTCAATCAGCGTAAGCTTGCTTCTCAGCTCCTGCAGTCTCTGCCCTCACCTCTGACGTCAACGCGTTTCTCCAGTTTGACTGGCTTCCTCAGGACATGATGCTGTCCACGCCATCTTCAAGTAGGGTATTTGATGGCAAAATCCTTGTTGCTGATTGGTGCAGAAAGTAAGTCTTATTTGCATGTTTGTACAAGATCTCGTTTGATCTTGCGTGGCATTAGAGTCATCATTTGTGAAAGTCTTTGTGTGTCACAATATTAATCAACATTTAAAATGGACATTTAGGCAAATAATGCAAATTTAAAAAACAAAGCATACACATGTGAATTTAAATACCTATTGCAAAAGGAGAGAAAAATAGTGTGCATTATGATCTTTAAAACGGAATGAGTTGATTGTAACAGATATTTATTCAAACATGTATCATATTAAAATGAAATGGTGCTTATTTGGAGATTAAACTTGTGCTTTTGTCAGGAAAAATAGGTGTTATAGAAAGAGTGCAGAATCACCCGGTTGAGGTGCCAGGCGGTCCGTCACAGAGACAAAATGCCCAGATTCCCACTTCCCGATCCTCTGAACCTCGTGTGCTGGTATGCCCATCCTAGAAGCCTCCATGGCAGTGCCAATCTGAATGAAATGCCCACAATATTCCTTGTTGTCAATCCCCAGGACCACCAGCCCTGAGCGAAGGACACAGGGAAATTGGAAATGAGAAAGAAAGCTCCCATCCGCATAATCTAAAAGAGGAATACTGGGCGCAGCTCAGTACTCGAGTGTCGAATTTTAAATGAGATATGATCTGCAGAGCACTGAACATCGGCAAACAACACCCCACCACTGCATCGCCTTCAATGGATCACCAATTTCCCAATGAGCATGACCCCAAAGAATGCCAGGGAATAGGCCAAAGCAAATAGACGGGCCTCAAAACTGAGTAACAGACCAGAGGGGGCACCCCACACAATATTGTCAGGAGCACAGCGTAGATCGACCTTCCGCGTCTGCGGAAGCAACACACCACCCCAAGCCTTTTAGCGCCTGGCACACTACGAATGCCTTGGCAGAATCTTCCCACCCATGTAGCTGGAACAGGAAGCTAAGACCCGCAAAATGTGAGGAGATTGCAAAGGGGGACGTACCCCCGGACTCCCGGCGACCCAAGAGCCGCAAAAGCCATGAGAGGCGGGCAGTCAAGTCACCAAAAACACACGGAGAATGCTCCCACCTGTCCATTTGCACCACACTTTACTGTATTGGGTACACAAGGCCCGGGAGACTGACCCACGGACCAAATCCCTCAATCTGCCAGACCAAGTGACCACATCTCCACCGGGCATGGAGGCCCTTCCAGATCCGCCCGCAGGGAGACCGCCCAAAAATCCCGACCATTGCGAATGAGAGAGAGTATCTGCTATTACAATGTGAACGCCAGGCATATGCTCTGCCCTACAAGACACATTAAGCCAACTGCTGGAGGGGAGGAGGCTGTCAGATGATTGACAGCTTGTACCAGACCCAGATTGTTGCAGTGAAAAACAAACCATTCCGCCATCGCGCTCCGGCTGTCTTGGCTGCGCCGGTTGTCTCCTTGCGCCTCCAGCCTGCTGTCCATTGCCGAGGGGCGAGCTGGAGACTTTGGGGGGAGCAGGCCGCATGTCGGGAGGGGCAAACACGGCCACGTGGGCCTGGTGGTGCCTCAGGCCAGAGCTCCGGCTTTGATAACGGGGCCGAGGTGCTGCATCCTGATTCAGGCAAGCAAGTGGGCGGGAATTCCGGCCCGTGCTCGTGCGGCCTACATGGGCTGCAGCCACATGGGAGGCCCCAGCAGATGCCTGGCCATGAGGGATGACCACACTGGCAGCCAAACCAGGCTGGAGGTGAGCAAATTGCCCATGGAGGTGCTTGCATCCACATCCATCCTCAAGCAGAACATTTCCAAAGACCCAGGACAAACAGGAGCAACAGAGTCAGGGTAAGTTGTTTGCTGGCCCATCTCCCAAGTGGCACTGAGGTAAGATCATCCATACACCACTCCCAAACACATAACCACTCCCATATACACATACAGCCAATCACAAGCATCTATCTCCACACTCATACATGTGCCCTTGTCCGCTTAGCTGTGCTATCTCCCCAGGGCCTTGTTTTAAACACCATGATTCCTAATGGTCTCAATAATGATTTTAAAATCTGAAATTTTTTAAACATAATTTTAATTCTATTCTATTTTATTACTATTTTTTTATTTAACATAGTGTCCTCTGTTTACTTTTAACAGATGTCCACCCCTATTTTTTATATATTTTATGCACTCTTGATTGTATGAACATGTAAAAATCTGCACTCTTTCTATAACACCTATTTTTCCTGACAAAAGCACAAGTTTAATCTCCAAATAAGCACCATTTCATTTTAATATGATACATGTTTGAATAAATATCTGTTACAATCAACTCATTCCGTTTTAAAGATCATAATGCACACTATTTTTCTCTCCTTTTGCAATAGGTATTTAAATTCACATGTGTATGCTTTGTTTTTTAAATTTGCATTATTTGCCTAAATGTCCATTTTAAATGTTGATTAATATTGTGACACACAAAGACTTTCACAAATGATGACTCTAATGCCACGCAAGATCAAACGAGATCTTGTACAAACATGCAAATAAGACTTACTTTCTGCACCAATCAGCAACAAGGATTTTGCCATCAAATACCCTACTTGAAGATGGCGTGGACAGCATCATGTCCTGAGGAAGCCAGTCAAACTGGAGAAACGCGTTGACGTCAGAGGTGAGGGCAGAGACTGCAGGAGCTGAGAAGCAAGCTTACGCTGATTGAGCTACAGGAAAATCCCTAGACATCTCAACCATCTACAGCCAGGGTCTCCAGAGCTACCACCGGATGTACCTTGACTTAGCTTGGCAGTGAGTAATGGCGTATTGCGAGCCTACTCACCATGCTCTTTTGTAAGAGACAGTTTGTTTATCTTTTTCTTCTTTTATCCACGAGGACTTCTTTTAATACATTTATTTGCCCTTTATTGTTATAACTGAGCCTTCTCAATATTTAACTATTATTTGATATCCTTAACCTAATTATCTTAGGTAATTTAGTGGGAATCTGGTTATATTTACAAATCTTGTCAATACTAGTGCTTATTGAAAGCAGTAGGCACTATTATTTATTTTTTTCTCCATATGTGTTGTGAGCTGATCTGGGGCCATCTACTGACCATTGAGTATTACTATAACAATTTTTATTTTTATTTATAATATATCTTTGTCAGGTTTGGGTTTATCACCTAAACGTTCATTGTATCATATTGCTCCACTCACTGATATATTTCCTTTACATAAATTAATAAAAATTTATTTTCTCACCCCTCCTAGGTGGTATGTTTATTCCTCATTCTCGGGTCCTCTACCAGATGCCTGGGAGTTTGAGGGTTCTGCGCAGTATCTTAGCTGTTCCGAGAACTGTATCTTCTGGACAGCGATCTCAGATGTCCCACCTGGAATCTGTTAAAGCCACTGCTCCCAACTTGGGAGTCAGCCACGAGTGCTCCTATCACAACTGGGACTACTACTGGCTTTACTTTCCACATCCTTTCTATGTCTTCTTTTAGTCCTTCGTATTTGTCCTCCTTCTCATGTTCCTTCTTCCTGATGTTATAGTCACTGGGTATTGCCACATCCACCACGACTGCATTCTTTCGTTCCTTGTTTACCACCACAATATCTGGTTGGTTTGCCAGCACTTGCTTGTCTGTCTGGATCCACGGGATCTTAGCCCTGTCATTCTCAACTACCCTTTGTGGTATCTCCCATCTGGACTTAGGCAGGTCCAGTCCATATTCTGTGCAGATATTTCGGTACACAATACTAGCAACTTGGTTGTGTGTCTCCGTGTATTCTGCTCCTGCTAACATCTTGCATCTGGCTACTAGGTGATGGACTGTCTCAGAGGCCTCTTTGCACAGTCTGCAGCTTGGGTCTTGCCTGGTGTGGTAGACTCCAGCTTCTATTGATCTGGTGCTGAGTATATATATAGAAGGCTTGGCCTGTAATTGTGGGAGGTACATTATTCCCTATATAAAGCGCAGTAAGCCCAGCTTACCTGTCATCGACGTTTGATCTACTTCCGGTTCATGTGATCCGGACGCGGCAGTGGCTGACAGCGAGAAAGTTACTCCAAATCAAGTTCCGGCCGTTATCGGGTGCCTAACCGCTCCACAAGGCTGTCTCCCCGGGTAAACAGTGAGTTGTCTCACGGGCGCATCCAACGCCACTTGTACCACTAAATAGGGAACCCCTTTGTCCCTCAGGCTCCCCGGCAACGAGCTATATACAAATGGGCCCCCCCACATACTCACAGGGTGCATGGCGTATAAAGGGTCCCCTTTGATACTTGCCGCATACTGGCTTCATGGTACCGATCAAACGCTTCAATACACAAACCCCTATACTTACGTGTGGGACTTGTTCATGGTCATCTTCCTATTCTGGGCAGCAGTCGGCTAATTCATTCTTAGCACTGCTTTTCCCCGCATAAAGGTTGGTTTTAACTTTTAGTATGCCAATTAGTCAGTATGTATGGCTAAATGTCGCCACCTTGTGGCTTTATTCAATATTGATTGGTAACATTCATTAAATGTACGGCTAACTTTCATTTACTTTGCAATTGTACTTTCAATGCTCTGTTAGTTAATTACATACTTATTCAGCATTAGGAATATAAATATTCTGTTTATAAAGTCTGCTAATGCATAATCCTCCGTTTACCTTACACATGCTGCCACAATTCGTGCTATTAAGCATTTTGTGTTAAACATTCGCCTACTCAGGGGATTATTAGGTGTCCATTCACATAAATTCGGTTAATTAACTCTTTTGTTACATTTATACATTTCATAACAGCATTTCGGTTGTTTACACAAAACATGGTACAAAGCTCCATTCATGCTAACTGGCATTTTCGTGGGGTATAGACAGTCGTTGGTTCAAGCTGGCATTTAACTCAAATATTGCAGTAATAATTAATCTCAGTTAAATTAAGATTCACATGCTGTCATTTTCATTTTACTACGATGGTTCCATTTAGTTAAAACACATATATTGTCAATTATATGCTGAGTAGCCTGGTTGATTTTGGCTTTGTCACCACCTTGTGGTTTGACAAGCTTGAGTGGCTAAATTCAGTTAATAGGCTTATTATATGTGTGTGTATATATATATTTATATGTAGGTTCTTTACTCTGTACCTTCATTTGGGGTACTTTAAGTGTCAGTAATTAACTACGAACAGTTATTCACGGTCTCGTGCATTTCTTGTTGCGAACTACACTGTTCAATATTGTTTAAATGACATTGCTTTATATGTTGTTTCTCCCCTCTGTTATTTATGACACAGCGTACAAACGGACCTTTTGGTTAAACGCAACTACTACATTGTTAGAGTTTCTGCCTATCACTCGCCAAATCTTCTTAATTATTTTCCAGTTAGTATATAACCTTTTTGTTGGAGGGGCAAATTTTCTACAGATGCTCCCAGGGATCAGGTTGTAATCGAATTTGTGACATATTTTAGGTTCAAGTAAGGATTATTCTATCTACTTCTGTACACGTCATACAAGCCAATCATCAGGTACGTTAACTGTTTAAACGCAAGCAGGGTCACAAGTAGGTTTGAGCTCTCGCCAAATTAGGGATCGTCCCATAGGCCTCTTCGCCTATAAGTCAAGTGGTCCCGCAAGGCATACTGTCAGCCCTTCCTTTCAGAGGTTTGTGCCCAATTGTCCCAATACATAGTTATAGCCTTGCATCAAGTCATAGTTAGGGACTCACCCGTTATGGCCAATCATTTTACATTCTTTTACGTATCACCGAGAGGCCAACACCCTGCCACCCACCTCAGTGGCACAAAGGCCCCACAAGCCAAATCATAGGTAGTGCCTCTGATAGCCACTTGGCAAGTAGTCAGGGCTTCACCTGTCACCAACATAAGCTAGTTAATACAATTTCACCAGTAGGCACTATCCTAGTAAGCTGGGTCACTACTGTTGTATACGGTAACATACTAACCTTGTCCATCTGCCTCACTTCCGTAGCATGTCTAACGCTTCTACACAAGAAGATGATCTGTCGGTTGCCAGCACCCCACTCAGATCAGGCTCGCAGAACAAGCGCAATCCATGCATGAGACAAAGCTCCGTATTCAGGGTCAGCAGGAATCTGGTTTTAATGTGGGCTACCTGCCCAGTATTTATGCAGGTCTCCCACCTGGTGGACACTCCCCGTGGGGACCAAATGGGAGACTGTGACAAGGATATTACAATGACCAATCTGAGTGTTACACTCACTTGGAGTATAAAATCCATTATAGCAGAGTTTATAAGATTAAATTACATGCTTGCAAATATCATTAATAGGTTAACATACCCTTCTGAACATGTCATCATGTCAGCCTCTCTGTCATTTTAAGATGGAGCAGCGTCTGTCTCCAAGTCTCTCCTCTGTGTCTTAACATTTAAAAGTACACCTATTTATACCTTAGGTGTCGTCATTTTAGGTTACTGTAGTTCAAATATGAAAAAGTAACGCTTCTTTTACTTTATTCAATTTAGGACCTCCCTTAACTTGGCAAACATACAAGGCCATAACTAAAGGGTGTATACGTCATGGAAATTTTCCTGACTTAGTTCAAGATGGCATCTTAAAGTCTGAATAGGTTATCTGTTGTTTATACTAAGTCGTAAGTGTACAGTCGTGGGAGATTCCCGGATTTGGGGAAGTTCCATTAACTTGGGGTTACCACAGTATATTGTGTACTGCAAGAGTCGTAGCATAGCCTTGAAGCTTGTTTATGCATTATTGTTATTGTAATTCGTCTGGGACAAAATGGCGCAAACATATTATGCACTGAGGTTATTGCTTAAAGAAACATCTATGAGAAACAATATGTTCCATTTCTTACACCTTGTCAGTTTGCAATATCTCTTAAAGACAAAGTACACAGTTTAAGAAATACAACATTTCATTCTAAAACTTGTAATATTTGCATTTGCCCGTAACACCCTCTCCATTAAACTGTGGGCATTGTAGCGTATTTCTTCCTTAAATTAGTAAACCAAAGTTCTCCAACTGTCTTTAGATTTTTTATGCTCCCAGCATCTTAGATCATTGTTGTAACAGTAAAATATCCGTACTGTGATATTTGCCTGTAAAGGTGGTTGATTAAAATGAGCAAAGCTTTTGTCTAGGAAAGAATTGAAAAGAACACCAGGTTCCAGAGTAAGATATTCTTGGATGGATCTGGATACGAATTGTAATCCAAAGTGAAAAATAGTAATTGTATTTGTAATCCAAAGTCTTTAAAGGCCTGTAGAAGTTTACATTCCTTAGATACATTCCTGGAGGTTGTGTTTGTAGAATACCCGGGTATTTGTTGTAGAGTATAGGTTGTAGAGTCCAGCTTTCCAAATATTTGGCTAGAATTGGTTGCGGATATTGAATCAGCATCATCTGTTATCACTGTGGTGATGGCGTTGTTATTTGTCTTTGCTTGTTTGCTTTTTCCATGAAACATTTTTACACAGTTTATGATGTGTAGAGATTGGATACTCTCCGATATTCTTTTACGGAATAAATTAATTGACAGCATTTCCAAGACATTGTCTTAAGTGACATGGATCCCATTACAGTAAATGTTATGTTGATACAGCAATCGAAGTGGATTCTCAGGAACGCCTCTTTTTGCTGTATTGGAATCTTTGTAACATCTCAGTGATAGACATCTCACTGACATCAGGTGCTGTTGTGCTAAAAATGTTAACAGGTAAAATCTGTGGAAGAATCTTCACATTTGTTATACTTTGTATAATAATGATAGATGAAATAGTAACATAGTTAATCTTTCTAGTGTTTTGTATTAAAGATAAACACCCTTGTATATGATTTAGAGATATAGGGATAATTTGAAGCAGAAAAGTATTTACCACCTTTGTTCACAATGGTATGTAAAATTACATTCTCTTTAAATGTTAAAAATACTCCTTTATGCAAAATCTCTCAATATATTTAGAAATATGACGTTAATTATCTTTCTTTTGACCTGTTAGGGAGAAGACAACTTATTCCCTAGTTATTATTAGTAAATATTATAACTACAGTTATTAGTGGCTTAAAGGACCACTCTAGGCACCCAAAAATTGTCTTAGAAAACCATTTGTTTTTTTTACCAAGATCTGACAGCCATTGTGGAAAGTCATGTTTGTGAGATTGGATGCTTAACAATGAGAATCTTAATTGTTTAAGTATATTTTTCAGTGGCTGTTGGGTGTAGCTTAAGATGATTTGGATTTTTATTATTATTTCTAAAAGTGAGTTAAGAAAGCACTCAGATACAATATTGAAGGTATTTATATTTTAACTCTACCTTTGTATAGGTGGTTTTATGTACCTTTAACCATTACAAACCAAATAACATTTTCTTTGTATTTGAAAAACTGATAAAATATTTGATTACGTGTATTTTAATATATATACATACATAGAGTGGTATGGATGTTGAATTTATATTTTTGACATCTTTTCACCAGTTTGCAATAGGTGACCTAAATGATCAATTTCCAAAATCATCATGTGTATCACCTGGACGGGTTAATCCATAATACTCTTTTACTTTCCATTGACTGGCCTTGGCTCTGGCAGACTGAATATTTTTATCATTATAAATAAACTTTATGATAGTTGAAGTAAAGTTTCTGCCTGTCTTTCAGTTAAATTTTAACTGTTGAAGTATTTCACTTATATTAATTATACCACTCTGCAAACTTAAACGAATATCGAGTAGTTTCTGATTTAATAAAAACATTTCACATTTTCTTTTAAGGTTAAAACATTCATTATTGCAGTTGTTATTGCAATCATATGATCTTTAACTATCATGATTCAATTATTCATCTTGGTAATTAGCTGTTATGCTCTTATACGTATGTTTAATATATTTGTTTGTAGGCCAGACTGCAGCTGCATATGGCATTTTAGCAATAATCTTCAATTGCGTTCCAGATATTCACAAAGTCTATCCACCTTTGTAATTAACACATTATGTGTTTCTTATACCATTAATTATAGTATCTGTATTATATTACACATTGTCACTGACACATTTCTGATACAGGGAAAAAATAGCATGATTGCTTTAGTAATTATAATTTTCGGTCCATGCACCACATTCCTGGAAGTCCAGAATATAGCAAGAATCCTTTGTCGTTTGATTCTATGGAGCCATTTAACGTTTTGATTGGTATAGTTATACCAAAAGAGCAAGGAGTACATTGGTAGATCACATCTGCAACAGAACCATTACAGATTCCTTGTTGTATCAATGTCTCTGTGTTTATGTTTACAGGAGGTCCTTGCTTTGTAGGCATGTACATAATATGTAGAGTTTAAGAAAAGCTGCAAATCGTGCTTTAGTACAAGTGTCCCATGATGTCAGGTTTCTGAAAGATTTTGCTGGCCTTTTATATTCCATTCTCTTGGCAGGGCATCTGCTCTTAGTAGGCCGGTCTTGTTATTATTTATTAATTGCATCAAGGTTTCTTTCGTTAATTGATGTTTCTACCAAATTCAAATTCATATGCCACCAAATGTCATTGTAAAGTTCATTGTTACAGAATATTGTTCCAGGATGGTTTTTCTCTCCAGTAGGAAATCTATATTCCTCTTCTTCTCCTTCCTATTAACCCCTTTTTCTGAGTTGTAGGTAACAATCTGTGTCTTGTACTGTGAGGTGCTTTGATAGTCAATCTGGTTTTCTCAGTACCATGTTCCATCTTGAAAAACAGCTGGGTGTTGACAGTTATCAGCCTTTATTTATTTTTCCGGTCATCTTCTGTCTGGATAATAGCAATGTCCAGAATTAACATAGCACTTCTTTTCAGCATAAGAAGGCTGTTTGCGGTAGTCATTCAATGATAAACTATATGGCAAAGTCTTTTCTTGCATCACCTTCATAGGTGCATCCAAAGTCTTTCACAAGCATCTGTCCCGTCTTTTTCTGTTTCCAGCATGCTTTGCCAATCACATCTTTCTCATGTATAATCAGTTTTTGGAATGATCTCAATAGGTTCCTTGTGAAATACCAGTGTAGGTCACATTAGCAATCATTTCACTGTGAGCTGTGTCTCTCCTTTTGAGATTGTTCTTGGAGGTAGTCCTCACGATCACAGAACTTGTATAGTGTGCAGTCCAATTCAGTTCAGGTGCTTCCTGCTTGTTAACATAATCCCAATGCAGCTTTAAAACGACAGCTAGGGTTGATGTTATGATAATGCTGCAGATTGTAAGAAGGAGACTCCAATTTTCTAGCATCCTTTTGCTTCCATCTTTGCATTTCTTTCTTACCGTATAAGATAATTCAGGTACAGTCTGTTTTCTCCAGAGTCTTTCTTATAATGATGTTGATGATTCATTTTTCATACATTCCATGTTAACTGTGAATGTATCACGTCTGTCTGTTCATCCTTCTCCTTCACATTTGCAGGTTCAGATGTCAGCTCATGATTTAGTCTGTTACGTGGCTATGATTCTGGTGCCTTTTCTGTCGTCCTCTGTTTGTTTTATCTTGTCATCTTTAACAGCATCCATTGTGTCAGTCAGTGGTTCTGTGAACGTCCTGTTAGTATTTAGCAGGTTGTAAAATATCAAACTTACTGTTCTCTGTTGGCTCTGATTGTTCTCTGTAGTAAAAGTTCTCGGAGTCACCCTCTCCAGGACAAACTGGCCAACAGTAGGAAAAAGTCGGTGGTGCAAGGCGTGGTGGGCTGGAAAAAAAAATTCCCTAAATTTCTCTAATAGAACCAATGGTTCTAAGCTCTCCCTGGTGCAGAAATATAATTGTCAGTGAAAAAACATGTAACATTTCATATGGTGTCTCACCATTTGTATCATCGGGTATGTTGTGAATGCTTATCTGTACCATAGGAATAAATAGATACCACTGTGTGGGGCAAGCAGCTAGTAACTTGGTTAATAATCATTTAACCTCAGCATTCTCCCAGACCACAACCCCACTTCTTTGGGGGTGGTTGGGGCACTGAAATCCCAAAGTAACCCAAATGTGGTTGCCCAGTTTTAGGTTTCCTTTGCAGTAACTGCAGGACCACCATCCAAATGGATGGTCCTGGGATTATTAAATGCATACTAAGGAAGTGAGACTAGAAAACGTGGTATCAGAGGTTGCACTTCGCACAGGATATATCCAAGTAAACCTGGTACATGCATCAACACATACAAAAACATATTTATAACCATGAGATGTTGGCAAACTTCCAATATATAGTAATTCAAAAAGTATGTTAGATATTAATATTTCAATAAACAGTACATCAGTAATGTGGCAATAAGCAACCGCTTATGATTACTAAACACATGAGTTACAGTATTTCCCATATTGGACCACCAATATTCCTTTTCAGGAGTCAGAAGTACATTACCTCTCTCTATGAGAGCTTGTCCTAGCCATAAAAAAGCTTTTAGGGCAAGTCTATCTTTCCTCTATAGGAAGAACAACCAACATATTACCTTCAATGGTTATTATGTAATTAACCCCTCTAAACGATAGGAGTATTTATGCGGATACCAGGTGGATAAGGTCTGGATATCCTTGCAAGCATAAACTCTGCATCATGACTGAGAGATAGGGTATGCAATGTGATCCAATGACCACAGAAAAGCGTTGGTAGACACATTGCATCAAAGTGCCTGTTAACGACATGAGGAGAGGGCCCATGCTTTGTTATAAGCATGTCCATACACGTGTTACAATGCCAGGCTTTCAATTTGTTTCCACAAAGCAAAATGCAGTTGTGGATATAAACTCATGACGTATCGTAAGCAAAACTGTTTGAACACCAGACTGAGACTTGAGATCAGTGAACAGTGGACCAAAATAGATAAATGAAATCCTATCAATTAATATACTTTCAATATACTTTATTCTCCGTATTAACTATGAAATATTAAAGTTAAAACAATAACATTTAAAAGCCAACTTTTAGTGTGGATAGAAATTACAAGGCCGTTCATAATGTGAGATAAAGAACAGCTTTTTTTTTAAATCCGACTAGTCTGTGAACACAAGATGACCTTGTGCTGAAAACTCACTTGCAGGGGAAAACCAAAACCTTATTTTTTTCTTTTTTCTTTAGTAAGTTAATTAATTAAACGTAGTTAGAACCTCCCTCAAAGTCCCGATTACTTTGCAGGAACATTTCGTCCTTAAATACTGGGTAAGTCTATTAAACAGTGACATAGCATTGTTATCCTGTATATCATGTTGTCACAGCTATAATGTGCAGTATTACAAACTATTCATAAGTGTTGTGCCAACTGTTCATTAAAAGCCAGTGGTCTAGCAAGCTATAGAACACTTATTTATTTATTCTTTAAATCTCTGACCTCAATCAGCAAAGCAATATTGTAATGGTGTCCATTGCAATCTGCTGTCTATACTTGCTGCTCTTAAAAATTCTGAATATGTTCAGAGATTTCTTGGGCAATAATAAATCCCCAAAAAACAACAACTTTGCATTTATGCTAAACCTGCCTGTTGTAAACGTATTCTGTATATTTCTTGACATAAGTACTTGTACTTAACTCTGTTTAATAAAGCTGTTTATATTGTGGTGTAAAATAAATATATATTTTTTATTATTTATTTTAACATTGCTTAAATTTTAAAGATATCTGCATATTTAATTAAATATCCTTTATATGTCTTTAAGGCATAAAATATCTGCAAATTAAGATTATATACAAAAATGCATGTTCTGGGTGTTCCTGTGATTCCTTTTCTATCATTTATTTAAGTCTGGAATCTGATTCCTTTTGGGATGAGCACCCCTCTGAGCCCCCCAGTTTCAGAGGCTTCTTTGGAGGTGACCACTGAAAAGTATAGATTCTACAAAATAGATGTGAGGGGGCTTTGGACAGTAATGTCACTTTAATTATACTTTTCATATAGCAGATATGTGATATGCAATGTGATTTAATATATCAGAGTATTATCACTTTAATTGACACTGCATTTTTTTATGCATTATTATTCTTTTTTTTTTCTTAAATTTTAATGTCTGTTTAGAATATTGCAGGCTTTGCAATATCAAATTAATTTTGCATTATATATATATTCACAGTGCTCTTACAACATATTATTAAAATTAGCCTTTTTCAGAATTGTAGAATATGTGGTGGAACTGAATCCTCATATATGAGATTTAAAACAATTTTTATTTCTACGCTGTTCCCTAATCTGTATTTATATACATAACTGCGGCAGCATATAGCTTTTAAAGAAGCAATTATTTCACCCTTCATGTGTGGTTGACTGTGGACTTTTTAAAACCTATTTTTTTTTTATAAATCCAGTTCTGGCTCTGAGAGAGCAGGCTGCTGAATGCATGTAAATGCTCTTATTGCTTAGTCTACATACTTTTATTTATAAACAACATTGATATATTGATATATAAACAACTTTGATATTTAATCTTATTTTATGAAAACCTAGTTTATGAAATTCACTGAGATTACATGTGTCTGATCTGATTACAGTCAGTAGTACAATATAATTGTTCTAATTTCCTTACAGCTAGTACGGTGGGATAGTACCAATGATTTAAGTAAGATTTCCCTTTTAAAATTGGTACACTTTACTGCCATTGCAATAGACTAAAGACTGTACCTGAGTAAGCAAAATCATTATGTGCAGGAATTGTGCACTTTAAATAGTAGAATACTTATGCTATTCTAGTGAATTGTGCAGGCTGCTTAACACATCATTTAATATCTTTTGGTCACATTTAAAGCTGTAAATGTATTTAACATTTTATTTAAATAAGCCTTTAATAATTTCAGTTTAAAAGTTATTAGAGATCCTGTATAGTTACAATTTTATTTTGCCCTGATTTATCTTACATATATATTATTTTTAATCATTTTATCAATATTTATTTTCGCAGAGCATTTAGAGAAGCAAAGGATGTATAACCACCTGTTGCCCTTTTTTATAGGAGGGTAGTATAATTTCAACTCTGTTTAGGAAAAAATATGAGCTAGTTAGCATATGTTATATAAAATATATACTGCATTGAATGTATTTAACCCCTTAAGGACACAACTTCTGGAATAAAAGGGAATCATGACGGAATATTTCCGTCATGTGTCCTTAAGGGGTTAAAAGCCATGTATTTTTCTTTATGGCTGTATGTAATAATGTTGTTCATATTTTAGAATTTAAAACAACGACTTCTCAATTCCTTGGAATGTTTACATGTCTCTATCTCCGCAACCTTGGCTGGAAATTCCAGACTCCAAAAATAGTTATGCTGTTATAATTCCTGATTTTCAATCAACAGCTAGCCTAACTAACAATATGGAAAATATCACTGTTTTATAAAACTTTTCTTATATAGTGGACATTAGAATCCAGAACGCAGTAATGCAATAATTAAAAATCCTGTCTGTCTGTTGCATGAATGTTTTCATTAAGCCATAATGCAATTTTCTTTGCATTCTTGGAATTAGACTTCAAATTTCATCGCTCTGTCTTATCACTTTTCTTTTGACAACATTTTGCATTAATCTTTTTCCTGCGCATGCATACTAAGCAGCTACAAAGAGAACATATCCCCCTGTCTACAATCCACTGTCCTGGAACTAACGGGCCATGCTATGCTGGTGTATTAGGCATTTGTTCTATTATGATATTAGTTATCTTTCTCTGAGTCTGGGCTACAAGTCCCTTCGTGGTCGCCAATTGTAACCGCTGGTGTATTAGGCATATCAGGGAGTTTACCAAATATGTATATTTGTTCTATTATGATATTAGTTAAGATCCACAATTTCAGCATTGTATGCTAATTACGTTGTACCTGGCACCTGAACTCAAAGTGCCTTGTTCACATTAAAATCATCTCTAATGATGATCTCTCTCTGAGTCTGGGCTACAAATAGGTCATTAGATTCTTGATATTTCAAGACTAGTGCCATGACAAAGTATTGTGTCTTCTCTTACGTATAAGAGGTTACCTAGGTATTTATTATATATTTAAAGCTTCCAAGTACAAAGTCCCTTCGTGGTCGCCAATTGTAACCGTGTGTGGTTCCCTTATTTACCACTATAATGTCTTAAAGCATAGAACTTAGTAGGGCTAACCATACAGATATCTTAGCCATAATTTTATATAGTGTAAGAGATCCTCTATTTAACATATATAAATAATTGAGAATACAATATAAAATAAGGATTGTCTTGGAAGCAAGATTGTCTTTTGGATATTTATTATATAAAAATATAAAATCCATTATAGCAGAGTTTATAAGATTAAATTACATGCTTGCAAATATCATTAATAGGTTAACATACCGTTCTGAACATGTCATCATGTCAGCCTTTCTGTCATTTTAAGATGGAGCAGCGTCTGTCTCCAAGTCTCTCCTCTGTGTCTTAAAGGACCACTATACTGCCAGGAAAACATACTCGTTTTCCTGACACTATAGTGCCCTGAGGGTGCCCCCACCCTCAGGGACCCCCTCCCGCCCGGCTCTGGAAGGAGGAAAGGGTTAAAAACTTACCTTTTTCCAGCGCTGGGCGGGGAGCTCTCTGCTTCCTCTCCTCCTCCGTTCCTCCTCCTGGGCTGAATGCGCACGCGCGGCAAGAGCTGCGCGCGCATTCAGCCGTCGCATAGGAAAGCATTTACAATGCTTTCCTATGGACGCTGGCGTGCTCTCACTGTGAAAATCACAGTGAGAAGCACGCAAGCGCCTCTAGTGGCTGTCAATGAGACAGCCACTAGAGGAAATAGGGGAAGGCTTAACCCATTCATAAACATAGCAGTTTCTCTGAAACTGCTATGTTTATAAAAAAAATGGGTTAACCCTAGAAGGACCTGGCACCCAGACCACTTCATTAAGCTGAAGTGGTCTGGGTGCCTAGAGTGGTCCTTTAACATTTAAAAATACACCTATTTATACCTTAGGTGTCGTCATTTTAGGTTACTGTAGTTCAAATATGAAAAAGTAACACTTCTTTTACTTTATTCAATTTAGGACCTCCCTTAACTTGGCAAACATACAAGGCCATAACTAAAGGGTGTATACGTCATGGAAATTTTCCTGACTTAGTTCAAGATGGCATCTTAAAGTCTGAATAGGTTATCTGTTGTTTATACTAAGTCGTAAGTGTACAGTCGTGGGAGATTCCCGGATTTGGGGAAGTTCCATTAACTTGGGGTTACCACAGTATATTGTGTACTGCAAGAGTCGTAGCATAGCCTTGAAGCTTGTTTATGCATTATTGTTATTGTAATTCGTCTGGGACAAAATGGCGCAAACATATTATGCACTGAGGTTATTGCTTAAAGAAACATCTATGAGAAACAATATGTTCCATTTCTTACACCTTGTCAGTTTGCAATATCTCTTAAAGACAAAGTACACAGTTTAAGAAATACAACATTTCATTCTAAAACTTGTAATATTTGCATTTGCCCGTAACAATAGGGCTAGGGACTAATGAAAGTATTTAGAAAATTGGGCAGACTAGATGGGCCGAATGGTTCTTATCTGCCGTCACATTCTATGTTTCTATGAGATAGGTGGAAGTCATATTTTGACCTAGGAGGAACAAAGCAGCCAGTTCCAACTGGTTTGGCAGTGTCCCTGGACAACGCCCTGCTGGAGAACAATGGGACAGGGGGAGAGGAAGAGGCACACCTTCCCATGGATTCAAAGGGGCAGAAAAAGTGTCCCAGAAGTTACAACATGTCCATACACTGTTTTTAAAGCGCCAGCACTAGTCCAAATAAAAGTCCATAAGACCAAGTAATGGTTTTAAAGGGCCATACACCCCAGGGCCATAGTTATGTGGCAAGAGGCTGACAAGCAGGCTTCTCCATAAGCCAGGGGAGCAGAGCAGTTTGGCACAAAGAAAGCCAGTGGCAAATAGCAGCTTGTCACATAGATATAGATAGAAAAAGATAGACATAGAAAAAGAGATAGAGAGACAGATAGATATAGAGAGAGAGAGATGATGGAGTGTGTTTAACAATATTTATTAACAGTGTGTGTTTGTATTCAAACACTATTTATAGAGATCTCTCTATATACAGTGTTTGCATACTTACTTTGGGTTAGGAGGGTTGCCGTAGGAGGGGGATGGGCATAGACAGCGAGCGGAGCAGTGAGCTCAGCTTGCAAATGCTCATACTGCGCACATGTGCGGTGGAGTACTCAGTTTTTTCATAGAGCGGCATTCAATGCCGCTCTATGAAGAACCTGATTGGTGCAGCGCGAAGCCGCGCATGCGCACTTGAGTGCTATGATGCTTATAAAAGAGAAGCGTCCTATTGGGCCCTGCAATTTCGTCCTTTTGACTAAAAAGGGGGCGTGGCCTGGCGGGAAACTCGGTGCTGGAACGGAGGTAAGTTTTAATAATAAAAAGGGCTCCTTTTTTTTGTTTTTTTTAGGGGCAAGTTCATATAAAAGCAAGAAAGAAGGCTGGGGGACCTGTCTTTCTTGTGTTTATATGTTCCCTATTGTGATCCTTAACTTTGGCCAGTGTTTGTGACCACGTGGCTACTAAAAAAGACTGGACATACCCCATTTGTAATACATTGGGTTGTCTACTATTGCAAATGGTATGCCATCCGGGCTACCATATGCTCTCAAAGGCAATGTAACCAATCTGGCGAATTTCAATGTGAAAAGACTGAAAATGTAACCTGCTATATTTGACCCTGTAACTTCCCCAAACACCTGTACATAGGGGGTACTGTTTTACATGTGAGACATCGCTGAATACAGTTAGAATGTCACGTAGAACTAAAAAAATTTGTCTTATTTTCTCCCAGTTTTTCATATTTTATTCATACTAAATTATGTTTCATACCTAAATATTATATGTTAAATGAAAGCTCTGTTTCCCCTGAACAAAATGATATATAATAAGGGTGGGTGCACATAATATGAAAGAGATGAATTACGCCTGAACAGACACATAGCGCAAATTCAAGGTTTTGTTTTGATCACAACTTGTACAACTGCTTCAATCCTTAAGGGGTTAATGGGTCTGGTTTGTTTATTCACGTATAACCAGCTGTACTCTGAATATTAAGGTTGCAGAGACCAGTCCTGTTAGCTCAAGATGTTACACGTCAGTTTTCAGGGTTTATTACATCGACTGTGAGCTCCAAGATAATGAAAGCTCATGATATAACTTCCTCACCCATTGCCCTTACACCAGAATTACCCTGCATTAAACTGTATTTCATTATCTTCTTTTCTGCAGAAACCAGGCTCCCTTTACTGATGCTGACAGGGATCTCTCATCCGACTCCAGCAATAGACCAGAGGACAGATCTATGCCAGCGGAGAGCTCACCCAGTACCTCACATGGACCCGAAACAATGAGACATATTCTCTAATCGCTCAATGTCGTCTTCATATTCGCCATCTAAATATCCTTTAACACTCCTCATCCCCAACATAAACAGTAAGCAGGGGAGCCTGGATCCCAGCCTTGCGGAATGGCATTTACTGACCTCTGTCATTGGTAAAATTAAACCGAGATAATACAACCCAGTAATGTATTAACTTGTGAGGCAAGCTGTTATGAAATAAAATACTATGAGCAATCACAGGACGTATTCTTTCTTTTTCAACATAAAGAATCAGACTCTAAGCATTATTCCAGCGTCAATACTGATGTAAAACACTCTCATTCGCACTCCATTTCAACACCCCGATGCCTGCCTGAGATTAGTAGGAGTAAAACTCCTGGGCAGTAGCAGTAATTTGCTGCTGCCATCATTCGTTTCGTTCTTTTCCTAATGACACTCTGGCAAATACTCCAAATTCACAGATCTTTGTTTTCATAGTTAGAGAATCTCCAGCCCTAAACTTATCCCTTAGTATAATTCTAAAACAAACCTTAATCCTATTGGCTTCATCTAGAGAATTCTGCTCAGAAGAGCTTACAATCAAACAGAAATGTTCGGGCATACTGGGAACACAGGCTGGCAATGCGACAATAATATGGACTAGGTACGGCTGGTTTGGTTTTATCACAAAGCAAAAATGCTTTGAGTCTCTCTGGGATGTGTTCTCTAGTTATGTAAAAAGATTTTTGTTCCAATTCTGATTGAGTAAAGAGATTTAGTGTGACACTTCCTGTACTCAGCATTGTGTACAATGGGGCCATTCATTTTGCGCGTGCTGGACAGAAAAGGTCACTCGACACAGAGATTCACCCACTTTGGAGGGGTCTGACTGCCTCACGTTGCATTGTCAGTTATCTGACTAATTCTCACTATTTGGAAACTGTCTCCATCATCCCAGGATTTTACTCCGGATGTAGGCGCCATCTTGTTACATGAGGTAATTAGTCGGTGGGAGGGGGTGCTCTAGCAGGCATTTTGAGTAAATATTGAATACAGGTATACACAGTAAATATACATTTTACGATCACTAATTTACATCCATAATGCTGGGACAGATAACTATAATTTTATTAAAGGACACGGAGGCTCTTATTATGCTTTACTCTTTCCTTTTATTCCTCAGCAGCAAAAGAAAATATTGTGTATATATATTCAATGCAAAAAGAAAACACTTCAATAACATTACATCATAACTTTGCAAGGGTTAACCATATACCACATATGAACCAATCAGAGTGTCCCTATTACAATAAAGTCCCATGTGACCCTAAGCCACTCCTCTTTCTTTTGCTGCTGCATCCTCAGCTAAGTACCATATTTTTCTCCCTCTGTGTTGCATGCCAGTTAAGATTGTATTTATTGTTCGCCCAGTCATCAACTTGAGGCCTTTAAACATGTTTGTCGCATACCACCACTTCAAGATGGAAGGTATACACTCTCTCCGGGACCTCCTCCTCACGGGGGACTGGATGGTCAAACTCGACTTGAAGGACGCATACCTCACGGTCCCAATGGCCGACGACTGCCAACGCTTCCTGCAATTCCGCTGGGAAGAGACCATGTGGCGTTTCAAGTGCCTACCGTTCGGTCTCTCATCGGCCCCCTGGTGCTTCACAAAGCTCATGAAACCAGTGGTCGCCCTCCTACGCAGCAGAGGAGTACGGCTCATAATATACCTGGACGATATCCTCATCATGGCGCAAGACCCGCTTCTGTTGCACGAACATTTCTCTTGGACGAGGAATTTGTTAGAAAACCTGGGTTTTCTGATCAACTGGGAGAAGTCGGTCATCGAACCCTCGCAGGCAATAGAATTCCTGGGATTCACCATAGACACAGTGACCGGAATGCTCCTACTCCCAACAACCAAGGTCAAGGCCATCAAAAAGGAGCTCAAGCGGACGCTAACACGGCCTGTCCTTACCTTGAGACAGCTGGCCAGGATTGTGGGCCTCCTCTCGGCGTCCATTCAGGCCATCTTTCCCGGACCACTACACTACAGGGCACTTCAACGATTAAAGGCAAAATACCTTCGTTTGGGGCACTCATACTCAGATTCTGTTCCTCTCGACTGTGTCGCCAAAGACGAAATCAAATGGTGGCTACAACACATGGAAGCGTGGAATGGCCGCGCGATCTTTGGAACAGCTCCGGACCTCATAGTGGAATCCGATGCAAGCTTGCTCGGTTGGGGTGCGCGCTGCGGACCTTTCTCCACCGGAGGAAGATGGTCTCGGGAGGAACAGGGACTTCATATCAATTGCCTCGAACTGTTGGCAGGTTCGTTCGCTTTACGGAGTCTTTTGAACGTGTCGACCAACTGTTCCATCCTGTTACGCATGGACAACGTTTCAGCGGTCCGTTATATCAACCACCTCGGGGGGAACGAGGTCAGCAATACTTGCGGAATTAGCAAAGGATTTCTGGCAGTTCTGCCTGGATCGAAACATATCGGTGCAAGCGGAACACATCCCGGGGATAAGCAATGTAGTAGCAGACTGGAACTCCAGACATCTACGAGATGCCAGCGACTGGCGACTGAACCCGGCCACCTTCAGCCAATTGCAATCACTGTGGGGACCACTGGACATCGACCTGTTCGCGTCACGACTAAACACGCAATTACCGAGGTTTTTCAGTTGGAGGCCAGATCCAGAGGCTCTAGCGACGGTCGCTTTCCGACAACAGTGGCCGAATGCCAGACATTACGCTTTTCCCCCCTTTTCCCTCATCGCACGGACCTTGCTGCACCTCAGACGACACCGCACGTCTCTAATCCTCGTGTCTCCGTTTTGGACGTCTCAACCCTGGTTCCCTACACTCCTGGAACTGTCAATAGATCTGCCGAGGTTACTACCAGTACACGACAACATTCTCCTGGATCCCTATGGCAATCCACATCCTCTCATACTGCAGGGACACCTCAAGCTTTTGGCATGGCTCCTCTCAGGGGACTCGGTGACATCCCAAATGTTCCACAAACAACTCTGGACCTCCTGGCAGGAGCTTGGGCCCCAGGTACAAGGAAATCGTATTTACATGCCTGGAACACATGGCATGGTTGGTGCGTGGAACAACATGTGGATCCCATATCTGCAACTGTGAGTCAAGTCTTGGGTTTCCTCACTTCACTTTTCGACCACGGCCTGGCGTATCGTACAATTAATCTATATAGGTCAGCTATCTCAGCAGGCCACGTAGGTTGGAATGGAATTCAAACTGGAAAACATCCGATGATATGCCGGCTCTTACGGGGCATAAAATTTGCACGACCACCACGGCCTAGGTATTCTGAGGTATGGGATGTGAACCTTGTTCTCCGACTTTTTGAAAGTTGGCCAAGGAACGAAGATTTGTCGATCAAGCAACTCACCGCAAAATTGGTTACGTTGTTCTGTCTCATCTCATGTAAACGGGTTTCAGACGTACGAGCATTGGACATTCAGGCACGCTCATATACACCAGAAGGGGTGGCCTTTGATATATCGAGACGTACAAAAACATCCATCACAAAGGTTTTTTACCCTGCATTTCCACATAACAGTAAATTATGCCCAGTAGCCTGCCTCAAGGAGTATGAAGCAAGGACGGTGGCGGTCCGAGATCCGCAATGTGCGGACCTCTTCCTGGCTATTCGACAACCGCATCGTCCGGTTTCTACAGTCACCATATCTCGTTGGGTCAAATGGATCATGACGTCGGCAGGCATTGATATTTCCACATACGGAGCACATTCAGTGAGGGGTGCGATGGCATCCAAAGCCTTTTCATTAGGCTGTAAATTGGAAGATCTCCTCCGAGCAGCCGATTGGTCGAGAGAATCTACTTTCCGGGAATTTTATTTCCGTCCGGTTTCCCATTTTTCCACGTCAGTGATCACACAGCTTTGAACTAGCATAATAAGAGCCTCCGTGTCCTTTAATAAAATTACCAGATTTTACTAATTTCATGACGTAAAGTCATGATTTTATAAAGGACACGGAGGCGAGTATTATCCCACCCAATAAAGGTAAGTTGCCCTCCTCTGGGAATGTAAGGTATGTTATGGGACTTGAACTGTGTGATAATGTGTTATTTTAGTTTATTTTTTCGTTTGAGTGAATAACATGAGAATGATTTAGTGTTCTAGATAGATTTGGAATATGAACATGGAAAATATTATCCAAGAACACATTTTACCATCTCGTTTCTCTGTCTTACAGCTTCCTAATTGGAGTGCCATAATGGTCCAGGCATACCCGCAGGTGGGTGGATGGAGGATGACCAGTTTTTTCTTCAAGTTTTGTTGGTTTTTTTGTCCGACGTCATCTTCTACGGGATTCCCTGTTTTTCTCTACACGACTACTGGTTCTTTTCATGGCGGAATATTGGAGTGTCCATCAACAACACCAAAAGAAAGAGGAGTGGCTTAGGGTCACATGGGACTTTATTGTAATAGGGACACTCTGATTGGTTCATATGTGGTATATGGTTAACCCTTGCAAAGTTATGATGTAATGTTATTGAAGTGTTTTCTTTTTGCATTGAATATATATACACAATATTTTCTTTTGCTGCTGAGGAATAAAAGGAAAGAGTAAAGCATAATACTCGCCTCCGTGTCCTTTATAAAATCATGACTTTACGTCATGAAATTAGTAAAATCTGGTAATTCACTGACAGTGCATAAAGATGGCTGTCAGAAAGGAGGAGAGAAAAGTAGGCAAAAGATTTATTAAAAAAATAAAAAATAAACAAGAATTAAAAAAAAAAAAAAAAGGTTGTGGCATATCATAACATAAAGACTACATTTCGTGGCTGAGCTGTTGTACCAGATTGTTTCTGCTTCACAATCATAGTTCTTGCAGCTGACCGGGACTGATTTACTGGGTAGAAATGTCACAATCAAAGGTGGCATCCTCTGACAGCGCCACGTTTAAAGTCACTGAGCTCTTCATATAACTCGTACTGCCAATGTTTATCTATTATTAAATAGAAGAAAATCAGATTTTCACATATAATGAAACACCTTTAGATTGAGAAAACCTTGGAAAGTCCACCTTGGGGACAGAAATTCAGAAAAATCATGTGTGACGGACCCGCTGGCACTCCGACCGAGTACCTCCGCCAATCGATGCTCCTAGTGCTTGCCGAGGACTCCAAGCACTCCAACCGACACCATCAGCACT